AGAGAGAAGGGACGAAGCAATGGAGGGATTTGAAAACAAGAATGAGTGTTTTAAAACCTAGATGTTGCTTGGCTGTGAGCGGCTATAAGCACAAATCAGCTCCCTACAACATATGGTTTGGTATTCAAGGTGAAGTTGCTATCACCATCCTCTATGGGCTGCTTGGTCGACCAAAACCACTTCCTGGTCAGACTGAAAGAGTATCTTGTGGTTAATAAGGTGCCGTTTATTTCATAGCAATTTGTTACAGTTACTTTGGCAAAACAGGAAGTGCAGTAGAGGGACCTGGATCATTGAAAGTTGACAGAGCAGTTAATAAAGCATACAATATCCTGGGCTGTATTAATAGGTGGAATAGAGTACAAGAGCAAGGAGGTTATGCTGAACCTACACAAGGCATTTGTTAGACCTTAGCTGGAGTATTGTCTAGAGTTCTGGGTGCTATATTATAGGAAAGAGGCAAATGCATTGGAGAGAGTGCAGAAGAGAATGGTTCCAGGGATGAGAAACTTCAGTCTGAGCCATTGGGTTGATCTTCTTGGAGACAAGGCGGCTAAGGGGAAATCTGATAGAAGTTTTCAGATTCATGAGTGGTCTGGATACCTTAGATAGTGAGGAACTGTTCCTGCTCCTTAAAGGATCAAAAAGGAGGTGGCACAGATATATATATCTGATTGTGACCTCAACTGCATGGCCACAAGGAGAATTGAGGATAGTCAGGCCCCAGCATCCTCCAGAGGCAGCCCCAAGATGGCTGCCAGGAGATGTGTGCAAAAGTTCCACTGTTGATTCTTGCCTCACCCTTTGGCAGGAGTCACCTGGTCCCAGTTCACCACCTGCCACCACTTCTGTTGTCAATTGTGGTTGGCCGCATTCCTGGAGGTTTCCTCGCATGACCTCCTGCCTCCAACCACCCTGATGTCAACCTCCTGCCATTGTTTGTTTAACATATCAATCTTTAAGGTGTCCTTTTCAATTGGGAATTTATCAAACTCGTGGTTACCCCTTTTTAAAAAGAAAATTCATATGTGGGACATGGGCATTGCTGGCTGGGCCATCATTTATTGCCTGTCCCTAGTTGCCCTCGAGAAAGTGATGGTGAGCTGCCTTCTTGAACCGCTGCAGTCCACGTGCTGTAAGTAGATCCACAATGGTGTTAGGGAAGGAGTTCCAGGATTTAAGCCAGCAAGATGAAGGAACAGCGATATATTTTCCAAGTCGGGATGGTGAGTGGCTTGGAGGGGAACTTGCAAATGGTGATGTTCCCATGTACCTGTAGCCCTTGTCCTTCCAGATGGAAGTGATTGTGGGTTTGGAAGGTGCTATCTAAGAAGCCTTGGTAAATTTCTGCAGTGCATCCTGTAGATGGTACACACTACATCTACTGAACATCACTGGTGGAGAGAGTGGATGTTTGTGAACATGGGGTCTCATTGGACCCTCATCCAACAACGTTTTTAATCCCATCCCCAATATTGTCAAAACTAATAAGTGATGATGCTTAATGAAAAGAAAATGGTAACCAAAGGCTCTTGTTTAGTTTAATGCCCTAATGATTTTTCTCCCTGGTTGCTCTCGGCAGTGAATGGCCTAGAAATTAATCTTCAATTCCCAGTCAGACCTGGTTTGACAAGTGGGTCACTGCTGTACAGTAGTTGAGAGCTAAATCTGAAGCCTTTGTAAAGGACAGAGCCCACCCATCAGATTGGGTCATCCTGAAGGGACAGTAATGTTTTCAGGCAGATAAGCTTAAACTCCTCAGAGCAACCCAAGAGAAAATTCGTTGGAGTAATTATAAATAAAGGTGCTTTTTTTCTTGGTTTATTTTAAGGACTCTTTTCTATTGGTTCTAAAAATAGTGCAGATGAGAAGTGGCTTTGGATTAGTTGAGCAGACGTGTAAAAATAGATCCAAACTATCGATGGCACAGTGGCTCAGTTGCTGCCCTCACAGCTCCAGGCATACCGGTTCGATTCTACCCTCGGGTAACTGCCTGTGTGGAGTTTGCACATCCTCTCCACGTCTGTGTGGGTTTCCACTGGGTGCTCCTGTTTCCTCCCACAGACCAAAGATGTGAAGATTAGGTGCATTGACCATGCTAAATTGTCCGGAGTGTCCAGGGTTGTACAGGCGAGGTTGGTTAGCCACGAGAAACGCAGAGTTACTGGGATAGGACGGGGGCACCGATGGGTCTGGGTGGGACAGTCTTTGGAGGGTCAGTATGGACTCAATGGGCTGAGTGGCCTTCTTCTGCAATGTATAGATTCTATGCTTGTGTGAGCCTGGCACCTTTGTTGCTGTCCCATAACATGATGATACTCTTGGTCCTCGCTACAAGCCAACCTCGTCTCTTAACATTTTTTTTTAATAAAAACAGTTTGATTTTTAGTTTCACTTGTGGTCACTTCTCCACATTTCAGCATGGCTGTGTGAGCTGTCGTTGCTTCCGGTGCCATTTAAAACAAAAGGCCAAAAATTTCCATCATTGTATCTAATTGCTGCACTGATTTGAAGCAAATACATGACTCAAAGACGCCTCATTTTAAAATGTATTAATAGCATTCTGTTAATTTATTGGATTTATTTTAAACTGAAGAAAACTTTGATTTCCTGCACTGGACATAAACCATTTACTGAAAAATTGAAAATGATTTCGTTTTGTTCCATATCTCAAATTTTACAATTTAGCCAAACCAGTGCAACAAGGGGGTTGTGGGCATGAATTTAACCCTTCACCCTGGGCAGAAATGTTCCATGTTCAATTTGATTTACTGAGGTGCTTAAAAAAATTGATAGATTTACCATGTAAGTAGTTGCTTTCAAATTCCTCTAATATCACAATCTATCCTAAGGTCACTCAGTACACATGTTTGCATGTTGCCTTGTGCCGTAACCTTCTTGTATTCATACCAGATGTACAAGCTATTTGGGGAGGCAATGGCCTAGTAGTATTATCACCGGTCTGTTAATCCAGAGACCCAGATAATTGTCTGGGCACCCGGGTTTGAATCCCACCATGGCAGATTTGCATTGGAAAAAAATATCTGGAATTAAGAATCTAACGATGACCGTGAATCCATTGTCAGTTGTCGGGAAAAACTCATCCGGTTCATTAATGTGCTTTAGGGAAGGAAACTACCATCCTTACCTGGTCTGGCCTACATGTGACTTCAGACCCACAGCAATGTGGTTGACTCATAACTGCCCTCTGGGCAATTAGGGATGGGCAATAAATGCTGCCTAGCCAGCGACGCCCTTATCCCTTGAAGGAATAAAATAAACAGTAGCTTGGTAGTAACAAACAAATTCATATTCAGAAATGACAGAGTGGCAGAAACATCTGGTGAACCTAATTAATTAGGCACAGATTGCCCTAAAGGACTTTTGATGAATCCAGCTGGGGTTACACAAAAGCTTTCATGGTTTTGTTTCATATTGTTTTTTATACATCAAACTGGTCAGGTATGCCCTTACATAGGAAGGATGTTGTGAAACTTGAAAGGGTGCAGAAAAGATTTATAAGGATGCTGCTGGGACTGGAGGGTTTGAGCTATAGGGAGAGACTTAATAGACTGGAGCATTTTTCCCTGGAGCGTCAGAGGCTACGGGGTGACCTTACAGAGGTTTCTAAAATCAAGAGGGGCATGGATAAGGTGAATAGCCCAAGACTTTTTCCCAGGGTAGGGCAGTCCAGAACTAGAGGGCATAGGTTTAAGGTAAGAGGAGAAAGATTTAAAAAGGACCTGAGGGGTAACATTTCACACAGAGGCTGGTGTGTGTATAGAATGAGCTGCCAGAAGAAGTATTGGAAGCAAATACAATTACAATATTTAAAAGGCATCTGAATGGGCATATGAATAGGAAGGGTTTAAAGGGATATGGGCCAAGCACTGGTAAACGGGACTAGGTCAGATTGGGATGTCTGGTAAGTGTGGACGAGTTGGACTGAAGGGTCTATTTCTGTGCTGTACGATTCTATTGTCACACCTCCTTGGGCATCACACCCTGAGGTGGGACTTGAACTAGACCTTCTGTTCCAAATGTGAGAGCTCTACCCCTGCACATCATATCCTTTAATTTCACAGTTGCTGTTGTGAAAGATTCGACTAATTGAGTTAGGTAGCACAATCTACAACTGTGGAATTGTGACAGGAGCTATATCATTGTTCCTTCATTGTGTGATCAAATCTTGGAACTGCCTTCCAGCCTACACTACGGGTATATCCACACCAAGTGGACTGTAGCAGTTCTAGAAGATGGCTCACCACCATCTCCTGCAGGAAAGTTACAGATGGGCCCCAACTGCTGGCCTAACCAAAGATGTTCATTCCTGTGAAAGAATTAGATTTTGATTGCTAGTCTTGTGGCAAAAATGCAAATCTACCCCCTTCTTCCAAACCCCTAATATAAAACCAATAAGAAAAAAGAGTTGTAAAGATCTTATCTGTCAGATATACCTCAAGGTGGTTCACATTCTGATGAATTACACTGAAGTGCAGCGACTATTATGAAAAAGGAGGGCAATTTGCAGGAGAATGGGTGATCGTGGATTGATGGACTCTAGAACTTCTTTCTTTACATCAAAATGCATTGGCTGCGGTGGATTATCAATTATTTAACGGGGTCAATTCTGTAAATAGAAATATGCTCTCTACCACCTCAGTAGACAGGCTTCAATTTATCATCTAATCTGAAGGACACCATCTCCAACAGTGTGACACTATCTCAGTACCACGCTGGAGTGTCAACTTGTTCGCATGTTTTGGATTGGGATTTCGCCTCAGATCCTTGTGAATCAGAGGTCAGTGTGGTAGCCACTGAGCCATGACTGAGAGAAGTAAGGTCTTCAAGCTGCCATAAAATTAGAAGATATTTCTTTGTCTGGATTTTTTTCTAATTTTTAACTAAATATTTTAACTGGTGACTAAGCGGTGTGAGTCAGTGGTCTGTGATTGCTGGTTTGCATGTTTCATTTATTCTTCTGGTTGCGTTTGTTTCAGAGCTCTCTGCAGATCAGTTTTGAGGAGGGACCCCAGCTACCCTCAACAGCATGTATCAGTCAAGTTACCTGTACGGATCAATCCGAACAGAGCATGGTAAGTTAATAAATCTGGAATTGAAAGCTAGTCTCGTTTCCTAAATATCGGGGATCGCCAACCTAAAACCGAGACCAAGTAACATTTTTACTCCAAGGATCGTGGGTCTTTGCTACTGTCTTCCTGAAAATGCAGTGGAAACAGAGTGCAAGGATATTTTTAAGACAGAGGTGGGTAGATATTTGTTCACTAAGGGAGTCAGCGGATACCTAAGACTGTGGATTTGAGGTTACAATCAGTTCAGCCATGACTTTATCAAATAGCAGAGCAGGCTTGAGGGGCCAAGTGGCCTACTTCTGCTTATGGTACCTAGGAACTGTGGAGCCATCATAGATTATCATACAATTGTATTGGGCTCACTTATGAACTCTAACGAAAGAAATCTTCGCCCTGACTCCAGACCTGCAGCAATATGATTGACTTTTAACTGTCCTCTGAAATAATCTTAGCAAACCATCTATTCAAGGGCAGTTAGGAATGGACAACAAATGCAGGGCTTGGCAGCAATACCCATGAGAGAATGAATAAAACAATATAGATAGAACAAGATGTCGGCAGTTGGGGCTTTGGTCTTGAGTTTAAAAAGGATGAGAGAAAGGGTGGACCTATGTTCAGGATCAGGCCTGAGAAAATCCTATCACTCAGTCATTAACTGGTAAAGATAAAGAAAGACTTTTAAACCTTATGCAGCTAATTTGAAATACAGTCACTGTCATAATGTAGGAAACAGGATGGCTATTTTCACACATCAGTGTACCAAGTATTGACCAGGACACCAGGGAAAAAAATCCCCTGCACCTCTTCAATATAAGTTGTTTCCATCCACCTATGTGATCAGTGAGTACTGGAGTGTAAGTTCTGTTCTGAAAGTCAACCCTGTAGTCGTATGCTTCGTACTGCCCTGAGTTGGATTTTTGACTTCACTGGCTAGAGTGAGACTGGAACCCAGAACCATGTGATTGTGCTCCCCAGTGTTGGTGAATGGAACACACAGACACGGGGCGGGTGGGAGGAACCGACAGGACTGGGTGTGTTTTCACCAACACTTTGCTCATTCTCTGGACATGCACAGTCAAGGGAATCGAGTTTCTGGATCGGTACACCAACTTGAAATCAGCTTCTTCCAGTGGGAGGACCAGCTGTGGACTAGAATGTAATACCTGGTACTTGTCCCATGTTCCACACAGCAGCATTTCATAGTTGTCTCCTTCAGAAACCATTGCTTTCAATCTTGCCAGCACGGAGTAGTCGTTTGCAACATTGTTAAGGAACATCTCCAGATTACATCTCTACTGAAACTGACATGAAGCAATGAAATAGGGGATCATCAATCATTATTCAAGTTATACTGTTAAGATACTGATAAGACTGGGGGGGGGAGCACGGTGGCTCGGTGGTTAGCACTGCTGCCTCACTGTGCCAGGGACCTGGGTTCAATTCCACTCTCAGGCACCTGTCTGCGTGGAGTTTGCACATTCTCCCTGTGTCTGCGTGGGTTTCCTCTGGGTGCTCCGGTTTCCTCCCACAGTCCAAAGGTGTGCAGGTTTGGTGGATTGGCCATGTTAAATAGTCCATAGTATCCAGGGATGGGTGGGTTGGATGGATTAACTGTGGGAAATACAGGGATGGGGTAGTGGGAGTGGGTCTGGGTGTGCTGCTCTTCAGAGGGTCAGTGTGAACTCAATGGACCAAATGGCCTGCTCCCACACCATAGGGTTTCAATGATTCTATGAAGATACATTTCCATTTTCAGCTGTGGTTTGCATTGGCAGTGCTCCTACCTGTGAGGTGGAATGTTCCAGATTCATGCCCTATTCGAAAGCTTGAAAACAAAGACCTAGGCTGACGCTGCAGTGTGATAATGAGGAGGTGCTGCACTGTTAGAGTCAATGACTTTTAACTGAGATTTTAAACTGTCTGCCCACTCAGGTGAAGGTAAAAGATCTGATAGCATCCTTTTCGAAGGAGTTATCCCTGGCATCCTGACCAATGTTTATCTCTCAAAATCTGCATCACGGGAACAAATGTCTTTCAGTATTTTTCAACTGGAATCTACCAGGACCTCAGAAAACCATAAGACGTAAGAGGAGAAGTGGGCCATTCAGCCCATTGAGTCTTCTCTACTATTGAGTGAGATCATTGTCAGATCTGATAGTCCTCAACTCCATTTATCTGTCTTTCCCTAGAACTCATGTCCAAATGGTTTCATGCAATTTTCAAATAATTTTAAAATTGTACCAAATACAAAAGTACATTTTTTAAAAAAAAACCATTTCGTTAAAAAAAAGTCCAAAATGAAATAGCTACAATATGCTAGCATTGCATAGTCCATAATGTTACATTACAAATATGCAGTGTTTAACAGTATAGTTTTGTGAGGCGACAGCCTAGTGATATTATCACTGGACTGTTAATCCAGAGCCCATATAACGTTCTAGGGACCCGGGTTCAAATCCCGTCATGGCAGATGGTGGAATTTGAATTCAATAAAAACAAATCTGGAATTCAAAGTCTAATAGTGACTATGATTCCATTGTCGAATGTCGGTAAAAGAATCATCTGGTTCACTAATGTCCTTTAGGGAAGGAAACTGCCGTCCTTACTTGGTCTGGCCTACATGTGACACCAGACCCACAGCATCGTGGTTGGCTCTTAACTGCCCTCTGGGCAATTAGGGATGGGCAATAAATGCTGGTCTAATCAGCGATGCCCTCAACCCATGACTGAATTTGCAAAAAACAGTTTAATTTTGCTTTGTTTTAATTTTAACAGATGAGAAGGCTGGAGGGTTGGGCAATCCACAAAGTTTCACAGTATATTAAAAGGGTCTTTAACCAAAAATTCCGTAAACGATTGAACCGGTTACACATTGCTGTTGGCAAGAAATTGCTAAGTGCAGATTGGTTGCAATCTTTCCCATAGCTGCTACAATTCCTACACTCACCATTCTGACTTGGAAATATATTGCCACTTCTTCAGTGTCACTGGATCAGAATCCTCAAACTCCCTCCCTCACAGCATTGTCGGTCTATTAACTACACCAGTTCAAGAAGGCAGCTCACCACCATCTTATGAAGGGCCAGAAGTGACTGGCAATAATGCTGGCTGAGCCAGCCATACCCTCATCCCACGAGTTAATGATGAAAAGCACTTCATTGACCGTAAAATGTTTACAGATGTGTGGTGGCCTTGAGAGATGCTACATAGAATCATAGAAAATAGTGGCAAAAGTAGCCCATTCAGCCCTTCGAGCTTGTTCGACCATTCGCTACAATCCAATTCCATTGTGTAATGATGCTGTGGCTTTAACAGGTGTATTTTGTCCAAGTTTCTTTTAAGGGAGAGATTGAACGATTCTGTGGTAATGTAAACAGCTTGTGAGGCCTTGGGGTTTTTTTTTTTAAAGTTGGGACAATAGAAGCAGCCTGGTTGGGTGTGTCCAGTCCTCTCAAACCAGGATTTTTAGTTATTTTTTAGTTTTTAGATCTAGCTTTTAGCAGTTGCCATTGGAATCTGAGCAGGGCAGAGGCTACTGAAGTTTTGAAGAAGTTGAAGCTATCTTTTCCCTCAGTTACAGCTAGAAGTTGGGGTTTCTCTATGCTGCTGGGTTACCTGTGAGACAGATCTATTTTCTGAATTTGTCTTCTTGTCAAGGAGTGTGTTTATGGGATGTTACTATATTGGGACAGTTAACTACTAATAGTTACTGTGTCTATTATTTTGTTAAGTTTTCTGACAGTTATGTTATCCTAAGTTCTTCTTTCTTTCATTGTATTTTAACTATAGTGTTTAAATAAATTGTGTTTTGCCTAACATCAAGTAGTTTGACAAATCAAATTGCATCTGGAACATAGCTTGTTACATTTGCTTTTAAAATGAGACAAAGTTAAGGTCTAGGCTCCCTTCTTAAAATATTTTGAGGGGGTCTGGTCTGGTGATAACAATAGTCTATTCCCACTTTCTCCCATTTCCTTTGATCCCTTTAACCCCAAGTGCTATATCTAACTCCTTTGTGAAAGCATACAATGTTATGGCCTCAGCTGCTTTCTGTGTTAGTGAATTCCACAGGCTCACCACTCTCTGGGAGAAGACATTTCTCCTCATCTCCATCCTAAATGGTTTACCCTATATTTTTAGACAGCGACCCCTGGTTCTGGATCTGTTCATCATCAGGAACATCCTTCCTGCAGCTACCCTGTCAAGCCTTGTTAGAATTTTGTAGATTTCTATGACATCACTCATCATTTTCCTGAACCCCAGCAAATATCATCCTAACCAATTCAACCTCTCCTCGTACTCATTCCTACCATCCCAGGAGTGAGTCTACTAAACCTTTTGCTGCAATTCCTCTATAGCAAGAAAATCCTTCCTCAGATATGGAGACCAAAACTGCATACAATGTTCTAATTGTGGTCACCCCAAGGCCCTATATAATTGCAGCAAGACCTCCTTGCTTCTGTGCTCAAATCCAATGAAGACCAATATATCATTTACCTTCCTCACTGCCTGCTGCACCTACATGTTTCCTTTCAGTGATTGGTGTACAAGGCCACCCAGGTCTTGTTGCTCATTCCCCCTCTCTCAATTTATAGCCAAACATAATGGCCAGCTTCCCTATTCATCTGTTTCCTACAGCAGTTTGACTAGTGGTTGCAAGTTCTTGCTCATGTTACATTTTGCTTTAAATTTTGTTTTTTAAAGTACTTGGAATCATAAATATCCACATAGAGGAGTTTTCAGGGAGAAAGGGTGATGGGATCCAAACTGTTGTTTCTTTTAGAAAGTTTAATTGTTAACTGTTTGTCTGTTTGCTGCAGGTTCTTTGTTGTCAGTTGACGGTGGATGAAATTCGGTTCCCTGTCTCTGTTACCCAACAGTCTCCAGCTGCCGTTTCCATGGAATCCTACCAGGTGACCTTGGCTCCACTTAAAGCCCAGGTATTTAGTGCAACATCATGCTGGAATAAATGATTCATTGTTGCTGACGTTGGTGAATGATAAATGATGTTCCTGTTCACTGTGAAAACGTTTGACGGAAATCTCAATGGCAGTCTGATGTTACACAGTGAGTCGTCCTGGGCACCTGACCTTAGGAAGGAGAGATGGTAGTATAGTGCTAATGTCATTGGATTAGTAATTCAGAGGCCACTGTTCGTCTCTCTGGGGAAACAGGTTCAAATCGACCACTGCAGTTGGTGGAGTTTAAATTCTGTTAATAAATCTGGAATTGAAAGCTACTTTATAGGAACTAGGAGTAGACAAGTCAGCCCCTCGAGCCAGATCTGCCATTTAATACAATTGTGGCTGATCTTAGCTTGGCCTTCATTCAATTTACCTGTACATTCTCCATTACCTCTAACTCAGGTTAAACCACCAGCAATCGTCTCTCTGTCTAATGAGAGAACAGTTGGTGTCTGGTAAGACTATGATGACTTTACCTTTTCCTTTTCATAGAATCTCTACAGCCCACCCTGACCCTCCGAAGAGGGTACCCTATCCTGTATTTTTCCCATGGCTAATCCACTTAACCTACACATCCCTGGGCGATTTGGTATGGCCAGTCCACCTACCCTGCACATCCTTGGCCTATGGGAGGAAACCAGGGCATCTGGAGGAAACTCACATAGATATGGGGAGAATGTACAAACTCCACACAGACAGTCACCATGGAATCGAACCCGAGTCCCTGACGCTGTGAGGCAGCAGTGCTAACCACTGAGCCATCGTTACTAATTAATAATCTGTCTATCTCCTCATTCAATTTAATCAATGTCTCAGCATCCACCACACTCTGGGGTAATGAATTCCACAGATTCTCCATTCTTTGAGAGAAGTAATTTCTCCTCATCTCGGTTTTAACTCTGTTACCCTAATCCTAAAAATTAATTTCAACTTCATAGTCACCATTAGTTACTATTGCCAACTGTTGTTGAAGTCCATCTGGCTCACTGATATTCTTTAGGCAAAGAAATCTGCCGTACTTACCTGGTCTGGCCTACCAGTAACTCCATAGCAAAGTGGTTGCCTCTTAACTGCCCTCCCAAATGGCCAGGAAACAATTCAGCTTGTTAAGGGCAATTAACGACAGGCAACAAATACTGACCTTGCCAATGATGCCCACGTCCCATGATAGAATGAAGAAGGAAAAAAATGACCTTGGATGGAAGGGAGTTTTCCTGAAATCAAGATGATTATGGGATGATTTTGTTGAGGCCTTCAAGGGGAAAGGGTGGACAGAACAAAACCCTTTCTGCTGTCTAGGAATTTAAGGTGAGTCGGAACCATCTACAAATCAGAGCCAGAGTCTCTGTATGGAATTAACAAGCACTTACATACCTAAACAGTGAAGTAAGTTTCACACACTCTTCCGCAAATATCAAATCACCCTTGAACAACTGCAAATTTTAAATATGAGGTCAATAGATTTTCTTTTGAATTTAAGTATTAAGGGATATGGGGTGCAGATAGCTGAGATCTCACTGAGTGGCAGAATAGGCATAGATTTTAATCAATGAGGGAACCAAAGGGTTATGGGATAAGGCAGAAAAATGGAGTTGAGGATTTTCAGGTCAACCATGATTTCATTGAATGGTGGAGTAGGTTTGATGGGCTGACTGGCCTACTGTGCTCCTATACCTTATGGAACAGGCTTGATGGCCTGTATAATCTCTTTCTATTCCTGTCTTCAATGACGGAGAATAAGCTGAAGAGCATCTTTGTATATGGATGGGTCCCAGTATTTATAAAAGGTACATTGACATTTTAAAGTGGCATATTGTATCTTTTTTTGTCTCATTCTTGTATCTCTGGCTCCCTGACTTCATGGTTATTCCAGGGATATTTATTGTTAGCTTATAGAGTGGGAGTGATTACAGCAACAGTTTTGGAGGCGAAAATACTGTGGAATTGTTAATTATGTTATAACCACTATAATTTTGAAACATAAGAAAAAGTAAATGGCAAAAGCAATCAAGAAGGCTGCTTGAAAGTTACATTTATCTCACAACACAAATGTGATGAAGCTGAGCTTCAGCAATAGAGAGTCTTGCTCAGGCCCTTTCTGGAGATCTGTTCTTGCTTCTGACTTGGATGTATTGGCTTTGGAGGTGGAACAGCACCAGCCCACCAGAATAATACCAGGCCTGAGAAGGGTAGGTAATGACAGCAGGTTGCACAATCTTGACCTGTATTACATTGTTAACGTATAAAAGAAGGATTTGATGGGGTAGATATGGAGAATCTATTTCCTCTCATCCTAAAATTATAGCCAAGTCATTCAGAGCTGGAGTGAAATTGAGAGGTAGTCTTCCAGGCACAGGGTTCTTGAAATTTGTCACTCGCCCCCACAGTGCGGATGTTGGGGGCCTGTGTCTTTTAAGACTGTGCTGGATAGATTTTGTCCAGTCACAGCATCGAGGCATGTAGATCTACAGCAAAGAAATGGAGATGAGGTGCAGGTTAGCTCTGATATGATTGAAAAGCAGAGCCAGGTGCCTCATTGTATTAATCCTAACTACCATCAAGAATGCTGTGCCCATAAATCTTCTAGAAAGTCATTAGGTAATGAACAATGGTTGATGTTTCGCTGCCCGCTACGTGGCTACAGCCTGAGTTGTGCCAGGAATTCTCTTTTATCTGAGTCAGGGATCTGGCTGTCCTTCACCTGTGCCATAGCCAACTGTGATTAAAACATAAGAAATAGGAGCACAAGTAGCCGGCTCATTCATTCAGCCTGCTCTGCTACTCTATAAGACTGTGACTGATCATCTCCTTTGACTTTGCTTTTCTGTCCAGTTGTCGTTTCCCCTAATTTCATATAGCACGGAAACAGACCCTTCAGTCCAACCAGTCCATGCTGACCCTAATCCCAAACTAAACTAGTCCCACCTGCCTGCGCTTGGCCCGTATCCCTCCAAACATTTCTTACTCATGTACTTATCCAAATACATTGTAACAGGACCTGCATTTACCACTTTCTGTGGAAGTTCATTGTGCACACGAACCACTCTGTGTTTAAAAAAAAAAAAAAAAATTGCCCCTCACGTCTTTTTAAATTCTTTCTCCTCTCACCTTAAAAATGCGCCCCCTCCTCTTGAAACCTCCCACCCTTGGGGAAAGACACCTGCCATTCACCTTATCTATATCTCTCATGATTTTATAAACCTCTATAAGGTCACTTTCAGTTTTGAATGCACTCAATGACTGAGCATTCACAACTCTCAGCGTTGCGAACCTTTGAAATTCTCCACCCCAGAGTCAAGATGTTTGCCTCATCTCTGTGCTAAATGACTGCTTATTAGTTCTGAGACTATGAGTGCTGGTACTAGGCCATCTGACCAGGGAGCACAGATTCCTTCATCCTCCCTGTCAGATCGTCTTCAGGAGTTTTATATGTTTCGATGAGATCACTTCTCATACTTCTACGCCTGAGAGACTATTGGCCAGTTCTGTGCAATCTATCCCTCATATCTCAGAAGACGATCTAGTAATATTTGAATAACTGGGAGCAGTTTAGAAAAGATCACTGGTGTGATTAGGATGACCCAATCAGTACATGCTGTGCAAGAATTAGACATGCAGAGAGACCCTGCCTTCCCTTGCTCACTCGCGAAACCAGGGAATTGAATGCTTGAGCTGGGAGACACAACCAGATATCCAGCTCATTGCACTACTGTTCATTAGCAAGACACATATAATCAAAGGAGGAGACAAAGAAACAGCAGAAACATGACTGCAGTGAAATACAGTCATGACGTCACCTGCCTCCCAAAGCCGGCGAATAGAAGCCATACCAAGAAATGATCAATGTTAATTAGCATTCAAGGAGCACTTAGCAGGAACTTTGAAAATAAATTAATAATGGGGAGGTTTTATGGCTACCAGGAGCTGCCTGATAATGTCAAAGGGTAATTTGTTGCAAAGACAACTGTGCAAACTCAGAAGCAATATATCTGAGAGTTTTCTTGCGATACATCCCTCAGCCACTGAAACGATGACGAGAGATCATTAATTTGCAGTGTTGAAGAGGAGCCTGGGCAAAATTGCAAGGGTATTAATCAATAACCAGAGTGCTGTTCGCTGATATTTACCTTGTCAAGCTGCCATATAGATACTCCATTTTATTTACAGGATAAATTAAGTCTAAAACCAGAATTTAGGATAACTGCAATTAGTTTTCCATATGCTACTTGCCATCCTCGAGGATCTATTGATCCAACATATGCCCCAAGTAGAACATCTTGATAAATAGGTGATGGGGACAGAGAACACTGTCGTCTTCCCCCTTTGATTCACTAATTCAATGCATTGCAGAATATCCAAGGTGCTGGTTCAATATAAAACCTGTGGCGAGTTCAGTGAGATTGCCTGTTGCAGCATTATCATTGCTTCAATGTGTTTGAGCTAACAAAGGGAAAATAAATCCCAGCTGCTACCTGCTATCCAATGCTGGCTACTGAAAGGTGCTTGTGTGAATGTTAAGTACAGATAGCATGATGTTCAGCCGCAATTCTCTTACCAACCCAAAGAGGCTTTTCAAGAAGAAAAAAGTGTCTTAATAAAGCTTTTTGTGAAAAGCCTTGTAGAAAACTAACCGACTAGCCTGGCAAAAATGGTAACAGCTGGCTGAGACGGATCGAGAAGGACTGGGTAGGGGCTGGATACATCTGGAGTGAAGAGTGTGCTTCTGGGATTTGCACCCACAGGAGGATTTCCCTGAAGTTACAGGAGTACAGAGATGGACAATTAGAGTGTTGAGAGGACCAGAAAACACAATGTGAGAGGATACAAGAGACGACAAAACAAATATGTGCAGTGGTTAGGGAAATATTAAATTGGTGGTCCATATTCCGAATAGCTTAGTAACTGTAGAGGTAAGTACTTCAAGGTGAGTTACCTTCAAAGGAAACACATTATTCAATTGGGATTGCAACAAGGCAGATTTAGGCTTTTTGTTTTCCTTTTATGCAATCTGTGTGTTGCTGGAAAGGTCAGCACTTGTTGCCCACCCTGACTGCCCTGAACTGAATCACTTTCAGATGGCAATTAAGAATCAACCACACTGCTGTTGGTCTGGAGTCACATGTAGGCCAGACCAGGTGAGGATGGCAAATTTCCTTCCATAAAAGACATTAGTGAACCAGATAGCTATTTTAAGGTACAGACATACTGGAGAATACTGGAGAAACCCAGACGGTCTGGCAGCATCTGTAGAGAGAGAAGGAGAGTTAATTGAGTCCGGTATAACTCCTCTTCAGAATCTCTGTTTGTTTCTGATTTCCAGTATCTGCAGTATTTTGCCTTTATTCCGATTTTTTAATGACACTCTAAACAAGACAAGTCAGATTCCAGAGTAGAATCAGGTTTGATAGACTAATAAGTTTAACTTTGCAATTTGTTTACTATGGTGGGGCTATCATTAAATATTTACACATGAGGCTGCCAGTGTATTTCGAGCAAAATAACATGTTTATTATACAAAAAAAAAGTTTAAAAGAACCACAAAACTATATATAATAAAACAATGTGGAAAGATCTTACTGTGAACATCAAAAAGAAAGATTCAGCCTTTTTTTTTAACCAGCAATATCCTTACAGACACTCAAACCCATTCGGGTATCATTCCTATCCTTCACTGGCAAAGTTGCAAGAATTTCATTTAGGCCATTTTCTGCATGGTCAAGGGCATGATACTCTCCACCTCTCCATGAAACACACAGGTGGGCTAACTCACTGATCTTTCTCTGACTTTGACTACTTTGAGGTTGCAGAAACAGCTCAAGCCTACTTACCATCTCTGATGTGGAGGTGCCAGTGTTGGACTGGGATGGACAAGGTGAGAAATCACACTACACCAGGTTATAGTCCAATAGGTTTATTTGAAAACGCAAGCTTTTGGAGCATAGCCCCTTTGTCTGGTGGCCTGATAAAGAGGCTACACTCCGAAAGCTTGCGTTTTTGAATAAACCTGTTGGACTATAACCTGGTGTAGTGTGATTTCTGACCTTGTCCATCTCTGATGACCTTAAGGTTCCCACAAACTAAACTGCTCTTCTTTGTTTTTTATTCACTTGTGGGATGTGGGCATCATTGGCTGCGCCCTTCCCCACTTGATCTTAAGAAGGTGGTGATGAGCTTACACATTGAACTGCTACAGAGATGAAACTATGTTTCTGAACTCAACCTGCTTACAGCCCTTGCTTTTCTATGTATCATAAAACTCAGGTCAACAATATGCTGCAGTTATCTTACCAGATAGTTTCTATAGTCGTTCAGCTTGTATTATTTGTTTGTAGGAAATGTTGTTCTGACCCACTGTTAAAAGAAAATGAGTTTCTGACCTTTATAAAACAAGTTTGCCTTCACAGAACTGGAAATCAAAAGAGCCCTTTTACTTTAGAAGCAAGTTCCCAAATAATAATTGCACATTATAAACTTTCATCACATTGGTCACATAGAGGGGGTACTAGATGGTCAAAGTCCATGGAACATTACCTGCAAGTGGAGTCTCATGCTTTTTGCTGGCTCTTTGAGTGACATTGGTGGCTGTGAATCTGTGTGGTGCTGTTGCACGGCCCAGCAAATGTCAGCCTGGGGATGTGCTACACAGCAGGGCCATCTAGAGGAGTATTTTTGTAAGCAAAATAATTCCATTTCTCTACCATTTCTCGGTGCAGCTGCTCGGAGAGATGTAGTATTTGATGTGATTGCATTGTCAACTGTTATTGTGTTCCGCAGATGGAGATTTGTTTGGAAGAAGCAGAGGTTGAGGGTCTGCTGGTCACTTGGTCATTCAAGAAACCCCCTGCTCTATCCCTCACAGTCAACTCCAAACTACAGAAAGGGGTAAGAAAGTGAACAATATTATTTTTTTCTGTTGTTATTACTTTTGACATTTATTTCAATTAATTGATGAAGAGTTGTTGTCAAGTAATAACGAGTGACTGGGGGAATGAGTTCTGAATTCAGTGAGGATTGTGTTATAGGGTCATCAGTGCAAATAACAGCACAAATTGCATGAGTTAGTTTGAAGATTGGCATAGACTGATGTTGAACCATTGAATTTGACTGCCCTATTTCCCCCCTACAGACCAACATAGGGAAGGGCGGGATTAGGGTATTGAGCTCTGTGATCAGCCATGATCATATTGAATAGCGGAGCAGGCTCGAGGGACTGAATGGTCTACACCTGCTCCTATCTTCTATGTTTCTATGAGGACTCATGTGCCTTCATTTTGTAAGAAAAAGGAATGGAAATGCACTGAGGAACAAGTTGCCCTGTGACCATAGCAACGTTATTCAATTAGCAATCCATTGGAGTATTGTTGGTTAGTGGATATTTACCTGGGTGTCTGGATTCATAACAACAAAAGGACCCATTGAGAACAGCAGCATCTTATAGTTAACTAATAGTGCTCGTGTACAAACTGTCCCAAGGCTCTTCATGCTTGAAGCAGTGCCATTTTGGACTTGATGTTCTGATTAGCAGTATTTTGACAGCATTGGTAACCCACATATTTTAGAGTGAATGAAGTAATGATTAGTAAATGTCTGGCATTGACCAAGTTTGCAGCCACCTGCAGACTTGGTCTGAGTTGGAATTTGTCTGGAGTCTCTGTGGGTTACTCGAGCCTGGCTGTTACTTTTGATGTGTGCTCCTCTTTGGGTTGGATTCTTGCTCAGCAACTTCCTTCTGGTCACTGGGCTGCAAAACCTAAATTCTGGTTGCAAGGTGACACAGAAGTGATATTACTTTGGAGGATGTGCTGTACACAAGTACTCCTATCATGTAATCTGCCGGTGGTAAAGTGGACTGTCTCCATTCTCCAACACTACACTGAGAAAGAAATAATAAATTTGTTCACCTCTTTCATTTGTTTTGCCTGGACAGGGGAATGAGGGGAAAGCAGATATTTCCACCATTCAAGAACTGATTGAGGATACAGTCATCAGCACTAGTCCAGCCATGCTGGTCAATCTCAAGGCACACATAGCAAGCACAACAGTAAGTGGCACCTTTTTGTTATTTTTACCTGTTCCATCTCTAGGCTGTATTGCCCTCACTCCAGATTCCCACAAAGAATATACATGACCAAGTGGTTTGCCCCTTCTCAGAACCTAAGAACAGCATAGTTACTAACCAATGGCTTTTTTTCTTTTGAGTTATTTGGGGGTGAGTTTGGATATGGGTAATGCTAGGATTGCAATTGCTGTCTCTTGTATCCCATCACCGATAGCACATTCCATTAAAATCAATGATTTTGAGCATCAGGGAGGCACAGAACAGACAAGCAACATGTGACTGCTTTTTTTGAACCCAATTTCAAGCCTATTGGCTCCTAATAAGAATAGCCACCACAAAGGTTCACCAGAGAGGTTCTTGCTATTCTCTTGTGAGAACAGATTGAGTAGGCTTGACCTATATTTCCAGTGTTTAGAAGAATGATCTAACTGCTACATATAAAATGTTTTTGGGTTTTAATAGTTGGAGGCTGAGAAAATGTTTCCCTTGGCTGCACAGGGTTACAACCTGAGGAAAAGGATAATTGGAACAGGGTTAGGCCATTCAGCCTGTCCAGTCTGCTTTATCATTCAAATAGATGGTGGCTGATAATCTATCCCCATATCCCCTAAAGTCATTAGTCTCCAGAAATCTACTGGCTTCTCTCTTGAACATGCTCAATGATTGAGTTTCCACTACCTCTCTGGGACTTGTCCATTTAGGACTGAGATGAGGAGAAATGTCTTCACTAAGAGGAATGTGAACATCTGTAGTTCACTGCCCTAGAAGGCTGTGGGTGTTCAGTCATTGATTATTTTCAAGATTGCGATGAATTTTTGGGTACTAAGGATATGAAGGGATATGGGGTAGCATGGGAAGGTCAAGTTGAAGTAGAAGCCATGATCTTGTAGAATGCTAAGGCAGGTTTAAAGGGCAAAGTGACTAATTACTTCTCCTGTCCTTTACCATCTTGTGTATGATTCATTGGTTACCATGGTGGCACCAAACAGTGGATGGAAGAGACAGGGTACCCGAGGGTCAGTTCGTTCTGTCTTGGTATTTCTCAATATTCTGTTTTCTCCTGTTTGAATTGAGTGGAGGGTTGAGCAGATCAGATCTCAGTGCTCTGGCCTCCGTGGCAGGTAAATCCAGCAAACTAGGGACAAGCTCCATCAGTATCTGTGGCTTGGCAGTGAGTGTACATCAATGGGAACATTGCATGTAAACATGAGATGTGAACCCAAGGCAGTCTGTGACACAGTAGGAGCCCTTCAAAAACAAGTTCTGTGGACATCTCTGGCCCAGTACAAAATCCATCTTCTCCCATTTGGAAAACAACAACTTCTGACTTTACTGAAAAGGACAGGAGTTACCTTAAACCTGCGCAAAGCACTTACATGTTTACATAGGATGGAGAAAAATGGTCACATGATAGGAAAGAACATCTCAAACAATCTCTTGAGTACGTTACAGTGACTGTACTTACTATTTTTATTCCAATGTAGTCTTTTATCGTTTTAAACCTACAGATTTTCCATATGGGTGTGTGCATGCATTGATGTGGTGCTGAATGTTATTAGTCCATTTCCATGGCTAGTTTTTTTAAAACCACAAGAATGTTTGTGTGAAATGGTTAACTATTCCATAACTCTATAACTACTGCTATCGTCATAGGAAAAGAGTGCATTGTTTTATTAAGAAACTAAACAAACAGCCCTGGTGAAAGACATTCCAAGATTCATAAATCTTGCAGTATACAGGAAGAAATGCAGGACTTTCCAGTGATAACCACAGCTTAGGAATCTAGGAAAAAGAAGTCTTCTTGATCTTTGATCTGTATGTGGATGGAAAAAAATTAGAGATTAGTTAAGAAATGCATTGTATTCAGTAACATCAAGGCTGAATTTTCAAAGCCTGAAGGTTAGAAAGTGTAGACCATGGGTGGTGAGGAATTTGATAGTTTTTGAGGTCCAGTGAAGAACTGAATTGTGTCTGTATTGATGATATACATTTGCAGGAAGCCAAGAACTTTGGTGGGGCCACTTTTAGAATACTGCATTCAATGCTGGTCTCCCTGCTATAGGAAAGATGTTGTGAAACTTGAAAGGGTCCAGCAAGGATATTGCCAGGTTTGAAGGGTTTGAGCTGTAGGGAAGAGGCTAAATAGGCTGGGGCTATTTCCCCTAGAGAATTGGAGGCTGAGGGGTTACCTTGTAGAGGTTCATAAAATCATGAGGGGCATGGATAGAGTGAATAGTCAAGTTCTTTTCCCCAGGGTAGGGGAGTCCAAAGCTAGAGGGCATAGGTTTAAGGTGAGAGGGGAAAGATTTAAAACGGACCTAAGGGGCAGCTTTTTCACGCAGAATGTGGTACATGTATGGGATGAGCTGCCAGAGGAAGTGGTGGAGGCTTAAATGGAATCTGGTTGGATACATGACTAGGAAGAGTTTAGAGGGATGTGGGCCAAATGCTGGCAAATAGGACCAAATTAGTTTAAGATATCTGGTTGGCATGGACCAGTTGGACTGAAGGGTTTATTTCTGTGCTGTATATCTCTATGACTATAATTTGCTTATATTTTAAATAAAGCATCTGTCACCATGATATAAACTCAGTGTACCTCATTGTAGTAAGACCATTTCCTATTGGTTGCACTTGGGTTGGCAGCCAATGGAGATCAGTCACATATTTTTGCTGATTTGGTGAAGAAGATGGATTGTGAGCGAGTGATCTGATCACAAAACTTAATAAAAATCAACCCATCAATCAGACTGAATTCAGGAGAACTAACCATTTTCTTTCTTCTGTCCAGGTACTTACTGAGAAGTTTGGGAAAGGATTGGCATCTCCGTCTAAAGCAGCATTAAATGCTGGATGCAGGCTGCTGGTCAGGGAGCTGAAGGCAAATGTGAGCAGAGCAGAAGGAGTTGGTAAGACTGCCAGCTAAGCCACAGCAGATACTGAAGAGAAAATGTAGATCAAGGGGTACGTTGTTGATGGGTAGCTGTTGTGTGCCACTGATGCCTGGCTTAAGTATGGCACAGGAAAAAAATGAGTTGGCAAATGAAGCAGACAGCATATTGTCAAGGAAGCAAAACAAATAAAGCAGTTACTGGAACTGATGGTGTCTTTCATGCTCTCAACGTGTCCCAAACTGCCACACTTCCAATTAAATGCTATTGAAGCATGGTCACTTGTTTTATAGATCAACACAGTGAATGATTTTATCGACAGCAAAATCCCACAAACAGCAGAGAGATGAATAGTCAGTTAATCTCTTGTTCATTCAAAGGTAAACGTAGACCACTTAGCTCATTGTCCACTCGTCTTCAAATAATATTCCATCTAAAAAGGAAAATGGGACTTCGGTTTAACAACTGAGCTGAAGGCGGCATGGTGGCTCAGTGGTTAGTACTGCTGCCTCACAGCACCAGGGACCTGGGTTCGATTCCACCCTCGGGTGGCTGTCTGTGTGGAGTTTAGGCATTCTCCCTGTGTCTGCATGGGTTTCCACTGGGTGCTCCAGTTCCCTCCCACAGTCCAAAGATGTGCAGGTTAGGTAGATTGGCCAAGCTGTAGTGTCCTGGGCTGTGCAGGCTAGATTGATTGATTTATTGATTGTCACATGTGCTGAAATAGAGTGAAAAGCTTTGTTTACGAGTGGTACAGGCAGATCACAGCAAGCAAAGGATGTACAGATCAAAAAGACTGAGAGGCATACAGGTTACATTGCAGGTCACGTTATTTGAGGTTAGAGTCCATTCAACAGTCTGATAACGGCCAGAAAGAAGCTGTTCCTGAACCTGCTGGTGCATGTGTTCAGGCTTCTGTACCCTCTTCTGCCTGTGGGAAGAGGTTGTAGGAGATCGTTACCGGGGTGCGATGGGTCTTTAATGATGTTGGTCACCTATCTGCAGCAGCGAGCCATGTAAATAGAGTCCATAGATGGAAGGTTGGCTTCCGTGGTGGTCTGGGCTGTGCACACCACCTTCGTAGTTTCTCACTCTCCTGGGCAGAGCAGTTGCCGTACCAGGCCGTTATGTATCCAGACAGTGTGCTTTCAATGGTGCCTCTGTCGAAGCTGGTGAGGGTCCTTATGGACATGCCAAATTTTCTGAGCCGCCTGAGGAAGAAGAGGTGTTGTTGTGCCTTCTTGACCATCACATCTATGTGGGAAGCCCAGGACAGGTTGTTGGTTATCGTCTCTCCAAGCAACTTGATGCTCTTCACTCTGTCAACCTCAGTTCTGTTGATGTAGATGGGGGCACGTTCTCCTCCTTTCTTTCTGAAGTCAATGATCATTTCTTCAGTTTTGCTAATGTTGAGAAACAGATTGTTTTCATTGCACCACGTCACCAAGCCCTCTACCTCCCTTCTGTATTTTAACTCGTCATTATTAGATATCCATCCCAGTGAACTTGTTGATGGTGTTCAGTTGAAATTTGGCAACACAGTCGTAGGTGTACAGGGAGTACAGTAGGGGGCTAAGGACGTATGCTTGGGTGGGCTCCAGTGTTGTGTTATTGTGGAGGAGGTGCAGTTACCTATCCTTACTGATCGTGGCCTATTGATCTGAAAGCTGAGAATCCAGTTGCAGAGGGCGGAGCCAAGATCACGGTCATACAGTTTTAAGATCAGTCTGGAGGGGATAATCATAGAATCACAGAATCCCTACAGTGTGGGAACAGGCCCTTTGGCCCAACAATAATGGTGCTGAAGGTGGAGCTGTAGTTAACCAGCAGGAGTCCGATGTAGGTGTCTTTGTTGTCCAGATGTTCCAGGGATGTGGCATCTGCTGTGGACCTGTTATGTCGATAGGTAAACTGTCGGGGATCGAAGCAGGTTGGGAGACTGGAGTTGATGCGGGCCATGACCAGCCCCTTGAAGCACTTCATGATTATTGAGGTCAGAGTTATTGGGCAATAGTTATTAAGGCAGACTGCATGGGTTAGCTTTGTGAAATGTGGGGATACTGGGATGGGGTAGGAGGCTGAGTCTGGGTGGGATGCTCTTTGGAGGGTCGGTGTGGACTCGATGGGCCACATGACCTTCCACACTGTAGGAATTCCATGATTCTAATAGAGTATCACTAACAGGACAGTACTGCCAGAAAACTGCATTGAAATGACAGTCTAGATTTGGAATGGGGCTTCACTCTCAGAGTGATACCGTGGAGTCTGGCTGATATTAATCTGTAACACTGATCTCTTAAGAATGTCACTGTAGATGTGGATTGCAGCTGCACATCCTGCGTCATGCAAACTAATGCTTTTCTTCTTTCTTTCATGGCTTGCAGGAAGTGGAGAGCTGTGTTGTGTATTAGAACTTGACAGTCCTGTACAGCTCAAGAGAACAACGTCAGTGATGCCCAAGTCTCTAAGTGAAAATTCAGAACTGAAGTGGAATGACGAGCTGATTTTGTAAGTGAGCTGCACCATTTATTCTATCATTAAATAAAACAAAGAGATGTCGAATAAGAAATGAGAGATTGCCAGTATTTCCCCAAATTAAGATGAACGCAATGTTATTTAAGAGAGCTTTTTGCTTTTCCTTGAAGAAATTCCAGTGCAACTTGGATATAGAGGAAATTCATTTCTTCTGTAGCCCATCACTCAATAATCTATGAATTTTAAAGTTAGCTACTCTCAAGCCATGTAGACATCCTGCTTCAGTTCCTGTTTTTAGTCGAGTTGGGGAACATCCAGTCAACGAAGCTAACAGGAAGGAAAATACACTGAAGAAACCACGACAGCAATGGGATCATTGACTGTGGAGCAGGATTTCTGAGGGTCCAAGCAACTGGGATTTCCTGCTCCAGATCACTTCTGGAAGACAGTTAACTGCCAGTCATCATTAACTAGTGCATTCTGTCAATCAGAGGGTATTTGACACCCAACCATCACTGTTCTCTCATATGGTATAAATTCTATTTTCCCTTTACTCTGGTAATTCTTGTGAATTGCCCTGACAAGTGCAAGACAAAAAGCTTTGGCAAAATCTATTCTTTTTCCGGTAATGGTATGTGACTCTTTGTAATCATTTTTGAGACGATGTGACTGTTCAGGGCTGAATTCAACTCCCAATGTGATAGATCCACACAACACACAATTCTGACTTAAGGTACACAAGCAAGGTATAATAGGGGCTAGAAATCTGAAATTCAAACAGAAAAACCTGGGAATACTCAGCAGGTCTGGCTATGTCTGTAAGGAGAGGAACAGAATTAACAATTCAGATCAAATGATCTTTCATTCGAACCACGATGACAACTTGTGATAATCAATTAATTCCAAAGAAAAATGGGAATTGCTGCATGATATATGACCAGAATTCATCCAGTTAACTTCCACCATTCCTGATCATCTCACAACACAATAATAATGGAATTGTTGACTAATGAGAACAGTTAAACTTTTATAATAACCAGGTTTTGCCACTTGGCAACTTAGGTTCTTTGGGCAGGAGGTAGGTAGAAGAGGCAATGTAACACAGGATACTGGTGTCTGTTTGTTCTTTGGTGTTCTTTGTCATAGACCCCAATAACTGCAACCTACTGAAGCTCAAGTTAAGCAGAGATACTATTCTCTCTGTTCTGATTTTCTTTTCAGTTACATCGGCATCACTACAGCTGTGTGTGTATGTGTGTGCTGTACAGAGTATTATCAACTGAAATCCCAAACCTCAGCTTGTTTGCTCATCAGTGAAAAACAGTGACCCACTCCAACACAATGAGCACTCTTTAGCAGGATTTGACCCAATGGGGAATTGAAAGTTAGTCTGGGGATTTTTTTTTTAAATGCTGGCACAATTTTATCAGCAGATGCAAGCATTCTAACAACATTTACGTGGAAAACAAATGTATATCTAATAAGCAGATTAATAGTGGCATTGCACAACTGGTTTTGATCAAATCCTCTACTGATTGTTCAGGGCTGTGCATCAGCACCTGGTGACGTCTCTCACAAACCTTTAGAACGCCTGCACAAATTTTTTTATTTCATGCTGTGTATTCAGCTGAATAGCTTATGGCTAGAATATTACATCGTAGCCATGAGCAGGCAAACTGCAAATGACTACTTTACAGAGTTGGATCAAAAACCTCTGTTACTAGAAGGGGCAATGTGCAATGTTTCTTAACGCCATAGAAAGCAAAATGACGCAAGACAGTATCAATTTGGGCCAATTTAATGTGTCCTGGAACTACTGTTAATTCAAGCAAAAAAAAAGTTCTGAACCAACCAATGTTTGTCTCATATGTAACCATACATGACATTTAATGCACTTGGAGTAGGAAAGCACTTTTATCTTTCTCCATTTTAGCTTTTTTTCCAGATGAACCATGTGCTCTGTAAGTGGAGCACATTGCAGTTACAAATTGGACAGTTCCCATCAGTGTAGATTTAACAATGATTCCATTTTTAGTCTGGAAGTCACACACTGATATCCTGCTCTGCCAACAGTTAGGGTGCAAATTCACACTAACAATCTTTCTTTCGAGCTTTCAATTTTGATCTCGCCTAGACTCCGAACTGGACGTGTTGACCAAGCAGAAGCCTTGGAGCTTTTCAAGAAGCAAGCGGTGCCTTGAAAACGCTGAAGGATTTCTCAAAATCCATGGAGAATATACTCTGCGTTCTGTTTAGAATCTGTCACAGATCAGTATGTGCAGGTTGACTGGATGTGATATTTGTCTGGAGATGCTGAAGAAGGGAGAGGGAAGGTTTGAACAATGGTTTCCTTTGAGATTGAGGATTTAGAAATATAGAATCTTACAACACCAAACAAGTTTATTCAGCCCATTGAGCCTGTGTTGACTATTTGAAAGAACCATCCTTTGTTTTTATTCTTCCATAGATTGTGAGTGTTATTGACAAGACCAGCATTTATTGCCCATTCCTAGTTGGCCTTGAGAAGGTGGTGGTGAGCTGCTGCCTTGAACTGCTTTGGTTGTTGCGGCTGGGCTACACCCAATGTGTTGGTATCCAATTAGTCTCAATCCTCTGATCTCTCCCTAAAGTATGCATATTCTTCCTCTTCAGTTATTTATCTAATTATGTGTCAAAAGTTGCTATGGAATCTATCTCCACCATCCTTTACAGGCAAAGGTTGGGGGAGCTGTGGATATTGAGAAGGATTGCCAGAAGATACAGGATATAGATAGGCTGGAAACTTGGGCGGAGAAATGGGAGATGGAATTTAATCCAGATAAATGTGAGGTGAATCATTTTTGAAGGTCTAATGAAGGAGAGAAGTATGCAGTAAATGGCAGAACCCTTAGAAGCATTGACATACAGAGGGATTTAGGTGTACAGGTCCACAGTTCCCTGAAAATGGTAACACAAGTGGATAAGGTGGTCACGATGGCATATGGCTAGCTTGCCTTCATCGGTCAGGGCATAGAGCATAAATATTGGGAAGTAATGTTGCAGCAGCATAGAACTTCAGAACGACCACGTTTGGAATGTTGCAATTCTGGTTGCCATGCTACCAGAAGGATATAGAGGCTTTGGAGAGGGTGCAGGAAAGATTTACCAGGATGTTGCCTGGTTTGGAGGGTATTCACTATGAGGACAGATTGGAAAAACTCAGTTTGCTTACAGTTGAACTTAGGCGGCTAAGGGGCAACCTGATAGAGGTTTACAAAATTACAAGAAGCATGGATAGAATGGATAGTCAGAGTCTTTTCTTCCCCAAGATAGAAATGTCAATTACTGGAGGACATCGGTTTAAGGTAAAAGGGGATAAGTTTAAAGGAGATGTGAGAAGGCAAGTTTTTTGTCCAGAGGGTGGTAAGTGGCTGGAATGTGCTGCCAGACGAGGTGGTGGAGGTGCATACAGGAGCATCATTTAAGAGGCATCTTGACAAATACATGAATGAGCAGGGAATAGAGGGCCCTGGACCACATAGATGCAAAAGGTTTTTAGTTTAGAAAAATGTCATTTGTCGGCACAGGCTTGGTGGGCCAAAGGGCTTGTCCTTTGCTGCACTATTCTTTGTTCTCCATCTTTGTTTATTTGTGCCTTTGAACGAAGTGGCTTGCCTGGGTCCAATGGTCTGTCTGAGCTGCAGCCACCCTGACTTTCTGTGCACGGGAAGTCACTGCTAGATAGAAACCTCGGAGGTTTGCTCTGAAGAAAAAATAGATAAGAGGGACCACTGCTTGGGAACATTTCAGAATTGGTTAAGAACCAGTCAAGTCACTGTGAATCTGGAGTCAGACATGGGCCAGACTAGGTAAGGATGGCAGATTTCCATCCCTAAAGGTCAGGCTGAGTAAAGATGGCAAATTTCCTTCTTTTTTGACCAGGAGCTCGTTGGAATTTTACCGCCATTGATGATCGTTTCATGACACCTTTTCAGAGAATAGCTTCCGACTAGAGACTTTTAAGCGACTCTTAGATAGGCGCATGGAGGATAGTAAAATGAAGGGTATGCAGGGTAGTTTGATCTTAGTAGGATAATAGGTCGGCACAACATCGTGTTCTATTCGGGAATAAATTCCACCAGCTGCCGTAGCAGGATTTGAATTTATCTTCCCAGAGCAAGAAACCTTCTAAAGGGATAGATATTAGAGAGTGAGTGAGAGAATATACACCGAGAAAGAATGTACATATCCAAACTCAAGAGCAATAAGTAAAATATTAAATGAAGAGAAAACCCAGTGACCCATCAAGTGGACCAACATAGGAAACAAGACCAGGAGTAGGCCACTCAACCCCTTGAGGAAGATCATAGTTGATCTGATTAATCTTTGTTCCCGGCTATCCCTTGCTTATCAAGCATTTACCTCTATCCACCTTAAAAATATCCAAAGATTCTGCTTCCACTGCCTTTTGACAAGAAGAGTTTCTAAGATGCACAGCTATCTGTGAGAAACCAAACTTCCATATCTCTGTAAATAAAAACCGAAAGAACTGCGGATGCTGTAAATCCGGAACAAAGCCAAAGTTGCTGAAAAAGCCCAGCAGGCCTGGCAGCATCTGTGAAGGGAAGAACAGAGTTAACGTTTTGGCTCCAGTGACCCTTCCTCAGAACTAATAGTTCTGTGAACGGAGTTCTGAGGAAAGGTCACCGGACCCAAAACATTAACTCTGTTTTTCCCTTCACAGATGCTGCCAGACCTGCTGGGCTTTTCCAGCAACTTTGGTTTTGCTCCATATCTCTGTTATAACTGGGTGATCCCTTATTTCTAAACACAGGCCCTTTTATAGGTACATGTGACAATAATAATTCAGATCTAGAAGAAATAAATTCAGTTCTCGAGACAATAATGTCAAGAAGTTTTGGCAGTGATGGGGTTCAAGCACATGCTTAAGTACAGGTTAGCACCTTGGACTGCTCGACAGCAATACACATGTGACTCGTACTTATTTTTCAGTATGGAACATGAGCTCTCAGCTGTGCATTTAAAACACAAAATTGCACTTTCACGTGCGGTTAGAGAATCTAATGACCCTGATAGGAATCTACGCACAACATACATCCACAGATACACATGTGAACTTCTATAAAGCAAGGCTGAACAGAAAATGCTTGACATGCAACCCCACTCAGGCCACATCTGTGGAGAAAGAATGTTTTAGGTCTCTGATGTCTGGTCAGAATTGGAAAAAGTCTGAGATGAAACAGTGTAATATGTAATGCTATTAGTAAGCCTCTGACTAAAAAGTAGTATTGCAGCATTCACAAAGAATCCTTTGAAAGATGTACACATAAATATAATGATTGGGTAGGATTAGAAGCTAAAGTGAGCCACCCCCGAGTCTATAGATACCAATGTTTGGACATAGTTTCCTTGCCATTTAAGGTTTATGGCAAAATCCAAAGCATTTTCCCTTTAAATGGACTTACCGCACAACTTGATGGTAGCGAACAGTCTGGAGAGAGTTCGGAACTTTGTGGGTGTCCTGCTATTCTGCAATGTCACCTGCAGTCAACAGTTCTCGTGGTGACTCGGAGAAAGCTGAGGTGTACATTTCAGAAGCTCAAAAATTCAGTGAAGGATTTAGTGATCTGTTTTCAACCCCTTGGAAGGAAGCTTATATTACCAAGCAAAATTAGAAACTGATGGCAAAACTCAACAGGTCCAGCAGCATCTGTGGAGCGAAAGCAGAGTTAACGTTTTGAATCCAGTGACTATTCATCAGAACTGATAACAGCTAGGGAAATGCAATATTTATGCTGAAGACAAGGTGAGGGTGAGCATGTGCAGGGTTGGCGGGGGGAAGAGGTGAGTGGACAGGTGGAGAAGGAGCCTAGATAGAGAGATATACAAAAGGGGTAGGTAGGCGAGGGACTATTTGATAGCAGGCCAGGACAGAAGAAAAGCTGAATAAGTGATAATGAGAGCTGAGAGTAGGAGAGAATGGGTATGCAGTGCTGAAAGCAACCCATGCCATGACAGGACCAGGGTGTGGAGTTGGGTACAAAACATGGAAGGATGGAATCAGGTTTTAAAGTTATTGAGCTCTATGTTGAGTCCTAGAAGCTACAGGATCCCCAAGTGAAAGATGAGATTTTTTTGTGCTTTGCACTGAGGCTTGCTGGAACACTGCAACAGAAATGTTGGCGTAGGAACGAGGTGGTGTAGCAGGCAGTCGGAAGCTCAGGGTCATTTTAATGGACAGAGCCTAGTTGTTCGGCAAAGCTGACGGAGACAGAGGACTTGGGAGAGTGGAATAGAGTCTTTACGGGAAGCAGGATGTGGGGTTGTATAGTCAAGATAACTGTGGAGTTGATGGGTTTGTATTGAACATTGGTGGCCAATCCATCCCCACAAATGGAAATAGAGATGTTAAGGAAGAGAAGGGATGAGTTGAAGATGAACCAGGGTGAAGGTGACAGCAGGGTGGAAATTTGAAAGGAGGTAGATAAACTTTTCCAATTCTGGACGAGAAAGGGAAGCAGCAACGATGATGTCATCAATGTGCTGGGGAAAGATTTGTGGGTGGGGGCTGGAGTAGATCTGGAACGAGGAATGTTCCACATACCCCACAAAGGACAGACATAACTGGGGCCCAGGCGGGTACCCGTGGCTACCCCTCTGACCTGAAGAAAGTGAGAGGAGTTAAAAGAGAAGTTGTTCAAAGTGAGCATGCACTCAGCCAGGTGGAGGAGGCTAGTGGTGGATGTGGATGGTTCAGTCCTTCTTCCCAGGAAGAAGCAGAGAGCCCTGAGACCATGCTGGTGGGAGACGGAAGTGTAAAGGGATTGCACATCCACGGTGAAGAGGAGGCAGCTGGAGCCTGCAAACTGGAAATTCTGAAACAGACGTAAAGCAAATAGGGAGGGATTAGTCAAGGGGAGAAAAATGTCGAGGCAAGGTAGGAACAAACAAGTTTCACAGGGGAGGAACAAGCAGTTCTTTTTGAAAGAGTTATCCAGTTGCCCTCACCTTGTTCTTTCTGCCTATTTGTGATGGTTGTTCTGGTATTGAGTGTTTTCACCATTAATCTCTTCATCTCTATATTCTTTTCTAGTGAGCTGGGGGCAAGAAGCAAAGAGATGAAAGTGAAAATCATGGAAAAGTTGGAGCACAGTGAGAGTAAGTGTTTGCTTCACACACAAACATTCTCATTAACCACAAGCTTCAAAGTGGCCAGAGGTTTTGTGCTCAATAGGCTAAATACGGAATGAAGCAAGAAGAGCAATATTGCATTTATATAGTGACTTTCAGGTACCTAAAGATGCCCCAAAAATAAATGTCATCAAATGTTTGAAATACAGCAAGCTCTGATAAACAGTAATATGATGATGAACATGTGGTGATGTACTTTTAATAATGTTAGTCAAGGATGAAAAATTGAGAACTGAGAAAAATTGGACAACTTCCCTGCTGTTCTTTAAATTTTAAATTTAAAATGAGAAATTTAACATTCACCAGAATGGGCAAGCAGCGTTTCCCATTGAAAAGCAGGCCCCTACAGCACAGTGACCCCCTCAGTACTGCACTGGGTTGTCAGGTTCAATTTTGTGATAAAGTCTTTGGAGTAGAATTGCAAACCCCAATGACTCAGCTGAAAACTTAACAATCTGGCAGTTTCCAAGGAACTGAACATGGACAAGATTAACTTGACAAGTTTTCTGCATAATTCAGCTCGTTATTTACATTCATACCTCTCCCTTAGATTTTTATCATTGAGTGATACGCATGATCCAAAGACCCCAAATCCCAATTTCCTAGCCACCCTGGTCAGTTTTGCACTTCTATTAAATCGTATAAGTGCAGCAATCCGAACAAATTAGACTGAATTTCCATCTGGCTTATTATTGAACTGTGAGTCCTGCTGAATATCCCTTAGGGAGGTCAAGAGACTAATCTACAAGAGTTGAGTCTTAGCTTTTTTCCCTGGTAGTTATATTCTTAATTAGAGGGCATATGCTTTCTTTCCTTGGACAGGTGAGAAAATTATAACACTCTCTCTGTCTTATTGTATTGCTAAAGGACAATTAAAGAGTCTGCTGACACAAGCAAAATATTAACTTTATAAAGAAACATCTTACTATGGTTTCAACTTACCATGAAGCTGTGAGAGAGAACAAGATTTTATGGCATTGTATTACTTCCTGTGATGATGTAAACTGTTTTTTGAGCATACCACACATAGTCAAACCTGGCAACTTATATTACAAAAATCTCTGGGAATTCCAATTTCACAAAAAGTGCTGAAGCTGATTGTGCAATGGCTTCATGGATTGATGTGCAGGGTTGAGACATGAACTTCTGCTTTGTATCAATATGGCAATCTCAGTTGGGTCATCATTGGAAGAGAAACAGTTGGAGGCAATGGCCCAGTGGTATCATCGCTGGACTGTTAATCAAGAGACCCAGACAATGTTCTGGGGACCCAGGTTCGAATCCCGCCACAGCAGATGGTGGAATTTGAATTCAATAAATATCTGGAATTAAGAATCTAATGATGACCGTGAATCCATTGTTGATTGTTGGAAAAGCCCATCTGGTTCACTAGTGTTCTTTAGGGAAGGCAACTGCCATCCTTACCTGGTCTGGCCTTCGTGTGACTCCAGACCACAGCAATGTGGTTGACTCATAACTGCCCTCTGGGCAATAATGGGCAAAATGTGGGCAATAAACGCTTGCTGGTCAGTGACACCCTCATCCTGTGTATGAATATAAAGAAAAGTGTGTGAAGAAACTGACCTGTTCATGCCCTGTTCCCAGTGATGGGTGAATAGATGATATAGACCAGTATAAGAAGCAATTACAGACCCTGTTCATTCTTTTGCAGATGTGTTATTAGGGCAGAGTGTGATCCCACTGGATTTATCTCGGAGATCCCCTTCTGGATGTCATAACTTTCCATTAACAGCCACTCCAGAGATGTCAAGTACTCCTACTGGATCAGTGTCACTGGAGGTAACCTACCAATCTAGCCAAAAAAACATCTAAATTTATTTTTATTATCCCCAGTGCTGGTCCCATTTTGTTGCCTTCTCTAAGCAGAAGCTGCTGGCTTCCTCTGAAGGATGTAGTGTCGCATTCAAACTAAAAGATCCTCTTTGTTCAATTTTGATGTAAATGTGCAAATAGCTTATGCTGCAGACCCACAAACAATTAGCAGGTGCATCTGCCTCAAAACAAAGACAAGGAAAGTACATTCGATCTGAACAGTTTGCAGACTTTAGCTGGAGGACAACTAAGCTATTCCATTCTGGGTTTAGTCCCCTGTTAAATGCAGAGCTCAGTTTCGAAGTTTCTTACAGTTGAATTGTTTGCCATCAAGGCTCATTTGCAAAGAGTAGGGTATAGTTCAATAAGGCCCAGTAGCAGAGAGTTTCTTTCATAGCAATATAATATTCTGAAACTGTAAAAAAAAATGCTGGTTAAGCAGCAACTATTTGCAGTTGTGGTCATCACATTGTAGGAAAGATGTGCTGGCACTAGAGACAGTGCAGAGGTGATTTACGGGGACACTGTCTGGGCTGGAGGGATTGAGCTATCTGGAAAGATTAATAGTCTGGGGCTGATTTGTTTGGAGCAGCAAAGGCTAAAAAGGGACCTGATAGAGGTGTGTAAGATTATAAGGGATATAGATACGGTGGATAGGAAGCTACTTTTTTCATTAGTAGAGGGGCCACTAAGCAGGAGCCATAGATTTAAGGTTAGGACAAGAAGACAAAGAGGAGACTTGAACGTTTTTATTTTCACTCAGAGGGTAGTGGGACTCTGAAACTTGCTGCCTTAAACAGTGGTTGAGTCAGAACTCCAAAAAACTTTAAGCAGGGTAGGCAATGGTCTAGTGGTATTATCACTGTACTGTTAATCCAGAGACCCAGATAATGTTCTGGGGACCTGGGTTCGAATTCTGCCACAGCAGATGGTGGAATTTGAATCTAATAAAATATCTGGAATTAAGAATCTAATGATGACCATGAATCCATTGCTGATTGTCAGGGAAAAACCCATCTGGTTCACTAGTGTCCTTTAGGGAAGAAAACTGCCATCATTATCTGGTCTGGCCTACATGTGACTTCAGACCCACAGCAATTTGGTTGATTTTTAACTGCCCTCTGGGCAATTAGGAATGAGCATTAAATGCTGCCTAGCCAGTGATGCCCTCATCCCGTGAATGAATGAATGAAGAAAAAAAAATTAGGTATTCACTTACATTGCCATAGCCTCCAGAGCTGTAGACTAAGCAAACTGAAAAATGGGATTAGCGTAGTCTGATCTTTGTTGACCAGGTGCAGATATGGTAGACTGAATAGTTTCTTTCTGTAAATGTCTCTGAATCTAATCACACAAAAGCCTGGAGACACTGGAACATTTAGAACATAAATTAAATCAAATAAATCAGGAATAAAGCATTTGTATCACTAATAGGAGGTGTTGACAGAACTACTGGGTTATTGTAACGATCCATCTGGTTACCTATGTCCATTAGAGAAGGAAATCTTATTGTTAAACCCGGCCTGGCCCAAATGTGACTCCAGACCCACAAGCAATGTGGACAACTCATAACTGCCCTCTGAAGTGGCCTAGCAAATTACTGAATTGTGTTTAAAATCCTAGCTAACCTTCTCGAGGGCAGTTGCAGATGGATAATAAATGCCAAAATAGCCAACAATTCCTCTATTTTATTATAATTGGCTGGTGAGCAAGATGGCAAAGATTTAATGATGTGGAAACATGAGTTGAGTAGAGGGAATTTGCAGATAGAAGCATGTAGTAATAAGACAATGGTTTTTATTTGCAGTTGAATTATTTAGAACCTACAGATTCTAAGACAATCCAGTCACTGGTCCCTGCAAGAACGGTCACCCCTACCAAAAAAATTGAAATGGACCGAACCGTAATGCCTGACGGCACCATAGTGACAACAGTAACGACCATCCAATCCCGGCCCAAAATGGATGGAAAGATAGGTAAGACTCCAATTTCTATTTGTGCTCACAGTGGTGACGGCTGTTCCATTATGAATTGGAGGGTTCAGTTCTGGTTGTCCTTGGAAAGCAAATTGTAAAAGAGATTGTTTTGAAAATTCTGGATTACAAGGAAGGACACAGTGTCCATGCAGTGGTCCAATTGTACAGGTGCTCATCTTTCTTTGATTTGAAATGCTTGGTCTGTTTCGGATTCATGGATTTGCCATAATTCACAAACGTGAGAGCCATTAACAGCTTTACCTTATTGTTGTTAGGGGTTATGGGAAAGTAGAAAGAGAGCGGAATTGAGAATGATCAGATCAGCCGTGATCTCATTGACCTTATAGAGGTTTATAAAATCGTGAGGGGCATGGATAGGGTGAATAGGCAAGGTCTTTTTTCCAGGGTGGGGGAATTCAAAACTAGAGGGCATAGGTTTGGGTGAGAGGGGAACAATTTAAAAGCACCTAAGGGCTAACTCTTTTCATGTAGAGCGTGGTGCGTGTGTGCCAGAGGAAGTGGTGGAGGCGGGTACAATTACAATATTTAAAAGGCATCTGGATGGGTATATGAATAGAAAGGGTTTGCAGGGATATGAGCCAAATGCTGGCAAATGGGACTAGGTCAGATTGGGATATCTGGTCGGCGTGGAGGAGTTGGATTGACTGGTCTGTTTCCGTGCTGTACACTTCTATTGGCAGATTCATTGGGCAGAATGGCCTACTTCTGCTCCTACATCTTGTGGTCTTATTGTGATAGAATGGATATGTCAGTGTTTCCATGGTAACGGGTGCATTTTATTGACTAGTTGCAAAGCCATGACAAGGGAGTCGGATTAAAGTATTGCTCATACATTCCTACAGATGTGTAGTTGCATTCACATGGCATTGGAGACATATATTTGATGTTGATCTGAAGGGACCTGCCTAAGCACTGACATTAATGCAGTGTGTAATGAGTAACTTTGCCTGGGTAATCACATCGCCCAGAAGCAGCTATTGTCCTTGCAGATTCAGGAATGGCTCTGCTTCCACATGAAAGTTGCATGAGAAAATTCTCCTATAGGTATTTTAGATAAAAAGGAATAAAAAGTAATATTTGCAGGAATAGTCAAAGAAAAATTAACATTGAGCTAGATAAGATGCATTAAAACAGGTAAACCAAAATTTAATTGAAAAGGTTGGTTTTGAGGAGCATCTTAAATTAAGAAAGAAGAAAGTAACATGTTAGAAAATAGGAGGCGATGTGGCTTAGTGATAATATGGTACTAATCTAAGGGCGGCACGGAGGCTCAGAGGTTAGCACTGCTGCCTCACAACGCCAGATACCCAGGTTCGATTCCACCCTCAAGCGACTGTGTGGAGTTTGCACATTCTCCCCGTGTCTGCGTGGGTTTCCTCCAGGTGCTTCGGTTTCCTCCCACAGTCCAGAGATGTGCAGGTTAGGTGGATTGGCCATGCTAAATTGCTCCGTACTGTTCAAGGATATGCAAGTGGATTAGCCACGGGGAATGTGGGTTATGGGGATGGGGATAGGGTTAGGGGATGCTCTTTGGTGTGTCACTGCAGACTCAATTGGCTGAATGGTCTCTTTCCATTGGAGAGATATTGAACAGCTCATCTGAAGCACCTTCAATGACATTTCTGTCAAATTAAAAATGTCAGCACCTCTCAAGTCACCATTTTTTATAAGCCCAAATTTGTTAGCTTTCCTTAAAACTTAATGCTACAAGGTTTGATCTCTGTGCCAGTTAGGGACGGTACTGTATGATTTTCCTTAGTATGTCTGATGCCCTCAGGAAGGGGGGCACGCTGGCTGCCATTTTCTGGCATTCCTGCATGTGATTCAGTTTGCCATTCCTGTAGCTGCCAACAGAGGCCAAGACCAGAAATGGCTGTGAGGCATCCCCAGGATAACCCTGGCAGTAAAAGCTCATCCAAGAGGAATGGTCACTCAGGTGAAATATTGAACAACGGAGCACCTGGTCTGTGTCTGGTATAAATGTGGATTGTGTCTTTCATCCTGTACACCCTGGAAGTAATGTCCGATTAACATACATAGTGTGCAGTGCACTTTCCTTTTTTAGGAAGAGGAAGATCGTAGCAAAAACCTATCGACATCTACGATTACCCTAACATAATCTTCGAGTGATTTAACTTTTGGGGGAGACCAAAATCAAGGGTCATAAATTTAAAATAGTCAAGAATGATTCTAACACAGGATCTGGAACTTATGGCTTGAACATGTGGTTGAGGTAGAATGTCACATAATCTTTTAGAAGCACTTGGAAGTGCTGTAACCTACTGGGTAATTGGCCAAGAGCTGGAAAGTGGGATTGGGCTGGATCGCAGCTTGTTGACCAGCACAAACATGATGGGACAGTGGTCTCTTAAACTTAGAAACACAGCAAACAGGAGCAGGAGTAGGCCATTCAGCCCTTCGAGCCTTCTCCACATTCAGTAGGACCGCCGCAGATCATCCAATTCAGTGCCCACTTTCCATTTTCCCCCATACCATATGATCCCTTTAGCCCTAAGAACTATATCTTATCCCTTCTTGAAAATATTTAATGTTTGGCCTCAATTGCTTTCTATGGCAGAGAATTCCGCGGGCTCACCACTGGATGAAGAACATTTTCATCTCAGTCCTAAATGGCCTACCCGACATCCTTAAATGATAACCCCTGGTTCTGAACTCCCTGGTCATCTGGAGCATCCATCCTGTGCTTACCCAGTCTAGCCCTAGATCACCTCTTTTCCTCCTTTAAATACCCATGTCTCTCAGGAATTCAAACCTTTTCTATCCAAAGAGTGATTGGAATGTGGACTTTGCCACCATTAGGAATAATTTAGGAGAATATCATCAATTGGCTTAAGAGAAGCTGGATGAGTACATAAAGGCAAAAGGCAAAAAAGATTATGCTGATTGAGTGGAATAAAATAAAGGTGCAAGAAGGCTCATGTGGACCAGTTGACCTGATGCTGTTTCTGTGTAGCAGACACTGCGTAATTACATGGAAAGCGTAATTAATCTATTTTTTCAACTAGGTATCATCAAGGTTCACTGTGCCCATGGCTGTCACCTCTTAGTTGAGCTCAAACACAGATTCTGCAACATAGTTAGAGGCTCTCCAATGTCTTTCTATAACCAATTCTACCTGTCCACCCACAGATTCTCCGACACGATCACCTTCCAAGGTGGAAGTAACAGAGAAGAAGGCTATCAAGATGGAAGATAGTTCTGTCAACGTGTCTCTGAGTAATGGTAAATGCACATGATCTTTGAGGTTTTCTGCTTATTTGAGTTCAGAGACAATGAGGGATTTTAGAACTTTTGCCCCTTTCGGGAGTTTGGTGGTCATTTCCTCTGTTCTTAATGTTGTAAAATGTGTCCTTTTGAACACAAGGCCCCTCAAGCCAGCTCCGCCCTTCAATAAGATCATGGCTGATCAGATCTCTGTCAACTCAACTCTATTTTACTGTGTGTCCTCCATAACCCTTGACTCCCTTGGAGTCCAACTTGACTTCCACCAACCTCCACTACCACGATCTAATTGAATGGTGGAGCAGACTCTATGGGTTGAATGGTGTACTTCTGTTCCTACATCTTATGATCTTACGTTCAAACAACTCCTTAAGTGTTAGGCTCAGTGTTTGCTGATTTTTTGACAAGATGGTTTCAGCAATGCTATTTTGTTTTGCAAGCCTGTAACTCCATAGAACATCAGTGATGCTCTGTGCCTTTTGGCAATGTGGCCCTAGAAGCAGCCCAGTTTCTTCCAATTGCTTCTGAATCCATCCGGTGTATTAGCTGTGAGAAAGATACCGGGAATGGTTCCTGATTTAGTTGTCACACTGTGCTGGGTCCATCGATCTTCGTCAAAGTGGCTGTAAAGAGCTGTGTACATGGCAAAGTCAGCCAGTGTTCCACTCCTGATTACTATTCACTGAAAATAGGGTGAGAATGAGCTGAAGCTAATTTGTGGGCAGCACGGTGGCCCAGTGGTTAGCACTGCTGCCTTACAGTGTCAAGGATTGGGGTTCGATACCAGCCTTGGGTGACCATCTGCATGGACTTTGCAGGTTCTCCCCGTGTCCACACTGGTTTCCTCCGGGTGCTCTGGTTTCTTCCCACAGTCCAGAGATGTGCAGGTTAGCTGTGTTAGCCATGATAAAAACAGGGATGGAGTGAGGGTGTGGCAAGAAACAGAAATTGCTGGAAAAACTCAGCAGGCGAGGCAGAAATCAGAGGTAACGTTTCGGGTTCAGAACTTGAGTGAAGGTGTGGGTGTGGTTGGGATACGGTTAGGAGGGTCAGTACAGAGTCGAGGGCTGAGTGGCCTCTTTCTGCACTGTACGGATTCTATGATTTTGTGATGCCCACAGCTGGCATTCATTATCAAGGTCTCCACAGAAAAAGGATGAGATAATGGAGGGTCACCAGTGCCCGTGGAACTGTACACCAACATGGGGAGGAAAGCGGCTGGTATAATTGTCAAAGGAAATGTATGCATGATTTTAGATGAATGGATTGTCGGTGAGCATCAGTTTGACATAATCATGTGTGGAATAATGTCTCAGAGTAACTGTGATTATTTACAGCGTTGAGAGACTTTTTTTCAGAATACTTTTGTTCTTATAGCTGGTTAGACTTTTCTATCCTTTTTGCCATTTCTAGGTGGATTGGGAGAACCTGGATTGTGCGTCACAACTTTGTAGGACAGGCTATAGTGTTATAGCCTGATGGATTGGCTGTAGATTGGCCAAGCTAAATTGTCCATAGTGTCCAGGGATATGCAGGCTCGGGTTGGCCACGGGAAACGTTGGTTACGGGGATAGGTTGGGGGTTCGGGGGTGCAGGGTTGGATCTGGGTGGTGTGCTGTTTGGAGGGTCAGTGTGGACTCGATGAGCTGAATAGCCTGCTTCCACACTGTAGGGATTCTATATTTTTCTGCCCCTCTCTCAATCTGTCTACACCCTCCTTCACTCTCTATACCCCTCTGTCTCTCCTTGCTGCACTCTTTCTGTTTCTCTCTCTGTCTCTCTCTGACTGTGTGTCTCATGCTAATAATCCTGTTTGTATGTGTGGTAAGCAGCAGATAATCACCTTGCCAATGGTTTGGATCCCGTGGTACAGACAGCAATTCGGCAGCTGACCGAATCCGCCAACAAGCCCAGCAAAAAGACACCAACGAAACGCAGCACCCTGATTATATCGGGCATCTCCAAGGTAACATTCTGCCTTCCACTATTTGCTGCACATGCTTCACTCTGCTGCAGCTCACCCGGCCCGACCTCCCAATGCTGCACCCATACCCATCAGAGGGTGGCTGGGAGTGCGCTATAGCTTAGGGAGCAGTAATTCTCAATCAATCAGTTAGGAAGAAATACAACAATGAACAGTCAAAGTTAAGTTTAAATGACCGATATAAATCACAAAATCAGATTAGTGGCAGTTTACTCATGGAATATATTTTCTTTGTCATATATTCCCAACTGAGTTACTGCCATAAGATTATTGATAAATATATTGGACCAGGTTTTCCAATTAGTAACAATTCTCATTCAGTTTGCCACTCGGTCCTTCTATTTTTTATTAGCAAGCTGACAGGAGGTAGCGATTCAGGGCTCCTTCAGAAATGCGTTACTGTACTTCCATTCTGACAGATCCCTCATGGAGTAGAATGGTCAGGGGAAGGTAAACCTCATCCCCTTTTCCACAGCAGTCTGTTGATGCTTTTCTATGATTTCAAGGTCCAACACCATGAACAGCCACTTTGACTGCTCCTGGGGAAGGGTTAGTCGGTAATGTAAGTGTGAGGGTAGCATGCCAGAAGGGTAAAGCTCCTTGTGGATGGGTGAAAGGAGAGGCAGGTGGTTAGGATTTAGAGTGCCAGGTGGGTAAAGTGCTTGTTAAGCAGGGTACAACTGCACAAGTTAACAAAAGGGCCAGATGAGTGGTAGAATAAGTCAGGGTATTTTGGTGATCACAGGTGTAGCCGGGAGGGGTGTGTGAGGGTGATTGTAGCTGGTACAAGTGGGGGTCAGATCTCGTGGCAGGTGAAGTGGGGTCTGGTCCAGCACAGGACATTAGGTTTTTTTCCAGAAGTGAGGGGTGCCAGGGGATGGTGCACATCCAGAACAGGGTGTATCTGCATGGGCAGTGGTGAAAGGCGGGGTCAGATCCAGAGAAGGAGGAAGGGAGATCGGATCTGGGGTTAGATCAGATGAGTTCAGTGGGGAGCAGGTATTGGGTTCTGTGTGCAGCGGTTAAAGTAAGGTCCCGGGGGGAAACGGAGTGGTCAGGACAGGTTCTGGTGCATACTGGGGGGCTGGGGGAGGTCCATCTCAGGGTTAACTGAATAGTTAATCTGGAGTTGGACTAGATTTGTAATAGTCTATCGTTTTTGAGTAACTATTTACTTAACTGTATCAGAACCCTCTGAATGCTCTGACATAAAAAGGACATTTTTGGTGGGCTTCAGGTGTAGGGACATTGCCCATCATTATCTTCAATTTCCTGAGCAATTCCCTCAGATTCTGCAATACGGGGCATTCTCCATGCACATGGCCATAAGACGTAGCAGCAAGATGTTCCACCATTCAATAAGAGAATTGCAGAGCTGATAATCCTCAATTCCACTTTCCTGCCTTCTCTCCAGAATCTTTGATGCCCTCACTGATTAAAAATCTATCTCAGCTTTGAATATAGTTCATGATCCAGCCTCAACTGCCATCTGTGGTAAAGCATTCCACAGATTCATTCTCATCTGAAAGAAGAAATTCCTTCTCATCTCTGTTCTTGCATCTACATTTTAGAGATGGTTTCCTGACTATTGGAAAATTTGGCCATCATATTATGACCTATACTGCAGAAGTGCACTCACTCTGGCCCCATTAGACCATGGTCACAACATTAAATAAAAATATATTTCCCAGTTATTGATAAGGCAAATTAAATGCCTTATCTGTGTCACACTTTAATTTTATAATGCCTATCAATCAGGATTCTTTAATAAACACAATTTTGTGATTTATTATTAAAACAAAACTTATTCAATAAAGCTGTAATAATTGGTTGACATACTCAGTAATATAGAGATATAAATATCTCACACAATCATACACTCTCTCTCTCTCTCTTTAGGAAAAGAGAAAAACAAATTATTTCTCTCTGCAGAGGTTCATTTAAAAATAAAGAAACACGTCCTGACCTTTTAGGTTATTTGTGAATGAGAAAAAGAATAAGGCATAGAATGTTCCAAAGTCTGTCACTCTGATGTTTTGGAGTGGATGGTCAAGTCATTAATCACGCACTGTCATCTCTGGAATCTTAGCAGACACGGCTTGTGCAGGATGTAGAGAATTGAGAAGCTCCTTCAATCACTCGATTTGAAGAACAAGTAGGTTTCAGCCTGAACTCAATAGCGGTGCTGTCTTCAGAGATTGGAGAGATCAGTGGGGTAGCCCTTCCTGACAAGCTTCTGGTTCAGCCAGTTCCACATACCAAGGCATTCTCCATCTAGTCACTATTCAAACAGATTCAGGAGGGATCGACAGCAAAGCAAGCAGTTAACACTCGTCATATAATTTCTAGGAAGCCTTGCTGAAAAAAATCTCCAATGTCCACAATGACTTTTCAATAATCGCTTTTGTAGAAACCAGTCCATGTATTTCCACAAAACCTCAATTAAATCAATTTTTCCGAAATCCTTCAAAATTTGAATCCTCCAGGTAATATTAACTATAAAGTGTTTCTTCAAATAAAATATTATGAACAATTCTCCTATGACGTTGCTCATGACAAGTCAGAGGTGTCTTGTTTTACGAAGAGATTTACGTTACACATTGATGCGTGTTCCTTTAAGCCAAGTTCTTGGAGAAAGAGAGTTAAATGTTTCTTTAAGAAAGAGAGCTAGGAGTCAGACGTAGGATGTGTACGTAATCCTAATTCTAGTATGTCTTGTGTATAGTGCACTCATCTCTGAAGTGGAAGTGAGGGCTGAGGGAAGATAATAGTTGGCCAGAAGAATGATTCAGTTCTTTTTTTTACTTAATATTTAATCAATCAGTGGTGTTTCATTCACATGGGGTTGCATTCAAGTGGGATTGCTAGCCAGCTTGACAGTCTGTACATAATGCCCAACCTGCTCTACTTATCTCTCCAATACCTGCCACGTACTTGCTGACCTCCTCTCTTGCCCTCTCGCCCAGGCCCCCATTGATCAGGAGGAAATGGCTCTTTCTGTGGGCTACGCAGCTTCCATGGATGCCTCACTGCAGGGGGAGCCAGACTTGGCAGCTCAGCCCCACTGCAGTGCTCAGAACGCGCTCGAATCTCCAAAATCCACTGACTCCCAGAACCAGCGGCAGGTGGTCAGCCAGGACCTGGACGAAGCAGCTGTGTCGGATATTTCTGAGCGGCCATCAGTGGATGATGTTGAATCAGAGACCGGGTCAACGGGAGCACTCGAAACAAGGAGCTTGAAGGATCACAAAGGTAAAAGGGATTTGATCTCAGCTGGATTGTTCTCTTGTGTCTCTCCATTTCCCCTCTGAAGATAGATATACCATGCACTGTGTAATAGAGAAACATAGAAAATAGGAGGAAGAGTAGTCTATTCAGTCCTTTAAGCCTGCTCTGTCATTCAATATGATCATGGCTCATTGTCTGAGTCAGTACCCTGTTCAAGCTTTATCCTTATACTGTTTGATCCCTTTAGCCCTAAAAACAATATCTTACTCCTTCCTGAATCATTGAATCCCTACGGTGCAGAAAGAGGCCATTTGGTCCATCAATTCTGCACTGACCCTTTGAAGAGCATCCCACCCAGACCCAGTCCCTTACCCTATCCCTGTCACCCCTCATTTCTATCGTGGCTAATCCACTCAGCCTGCGTGTCCCTGGACACTATGGGCAATTTAGCATGGCCAATCCACCTAACCTACACATCTTTGGGCTGTGGGAAGAAACCAGACCACCTGGAGGAAATCCACATGGACACAGGGAGACTGTGCAAACTCCACACAGACTGTCGCCTGAGGCTGGAATCGAACCCGAGTCCCTGGCACTGTGAGGCAGCAGTGTTAACCACTGAGCCACTGTGCATGAAATACATGCTTTGCATCTACCATATACAATATAGAGTATAACTTAAAACGAACACATTATTTGTTCTGGGATGTCTGTGCCACTAGTACTTATTGCCCATCCTTAATTGCCTTTGAAAAGATGATGGTGAGCTGGCTTCTTGAACTACTGTAGTCCATGTGTTGTAGGTAACAGTGGCCTTAAGGAAGACAGTGTTGGAATGGCGATATATTTCCAAGTCAGGATGGTGAGTGCCTTGGAGAGGAACATTTAGGTGGGGGTGTTCCTCTGTGTCTTGTCATTCTAGATGGAAGTGGTCATGGGTTTGGAAAGCAATGTCAAGTGAAGCTTGATGAGTTGCTAAATAAACTATATACTGTATAGATTATATTTCTATTGCAATAAGTAACAATTTTTATGTTATAACTGTGTACACTGAATGCACAATATAATGTGCAACATTTTGGTGGCAATCTTTAGATCAACATTTGGTGTGCAGAATCTATCTCCACCCCATTATACACATGACTAGAGCATCCACGTCCATCCTGCTCACTTGCAGTTGTGTTACAGGCAAGGTTCATTGGAGATTCAAAAATAAATTGACAGAGAAGATCTAAAAAATCCTAACTTCAGCCTCTGACAAGACTCCGGGAGCCTGACAAAATCTACTCACCAATGTGGAGTTTAACTGGTGCAAAACAGAGATTTGGGAAGATGATAGTGACCTTGTGACTAACATCTTCAGGGAATGTCATTTACATGCGGAACAGCAGAACAATTTTTTTTACATTGTCTTGGAACAGTGATTTAATTCTATTGAGTTGGGGAGGAACTGCCATCAAATAGTCAACGAACTGGCTGATGTCTCCACTTAACAAATTTGGAACAAGATACTATGATCTACTTGAGCTTTTTTTTTGTTTTTTAACCAAAGAAAAACCTGCATTTATAAGGTGTCTTTCACAACTTCAGAAAATTCCCAAAGTGCTTTACATTCAATTGAGTTCTTTCCAAATACAGTCACTCTTGTAATTCAAGGATATCTCAGCTGCCAGTTTATACACAGCAAGCTCCCACAAACAGCAAAGTGGAAATTGCTGGATAATTTGTTTCTAACTAATACTGTTTGAGGGATAATCATTGGCCAGGATGCTTCAGATAAGCTCCTCATTGTCAAAAAAGTGCAATGGGATATCTTACATTTGCCTGAGGGGGTGGGATGGGGTGGGGGGAACCTCGGTTTAATGTCTTGATTGAAAGACAGTTTCTCCATACTCCATACAGAGTCATACAGCACAGAAAGAGACCCTTTGGTCCAACCAGTCCATGCCAACCATAATCACAAACTCAACTAGTCCCACCCGCCTGCTCCTGGTCCATATCCCTCTGAACCTTTCCAATTCATGTACTTATCCAAACGTCTCTTAAACATTGTAATTGTGTCCACATCCACTACTTCCTCAGGAAGTTCATTCCACTCGCAAACTACACTGTGTAAAAAAAATTTCCTGTCATGTATTTTTTGAATCTCTCTCCTCTCACCTTAAAAATTTGTCCCCTAGTCTTGAAATCTCCCATCGTATGGAAAAGACACCTACCATTAACCCTATCTATATCTCTCATGATTTTATAAAGTACTACAAGGTCAGTGCAGTATTCCCTCTTCCACGCTGGAGTGTCAGCTTCGATTTATATGCGTTCAATTCTCTGGAAGATGATTTGAACATGCAACCCTCTGACAAAAGGCAGGAGTGGGCCTCAACTACTGGTCCTCAACTACTGGGCCTCAACTCCTTCAGCCTTGACTCTGCTCCCTGACTGTGCAAACTGTTACAAAGTGGTTATTCATTACATGTAGGCTCTGACATTCAACAAGCCATTCTGTCACAGAAACTATATACAACCGTGAGCAATCTAGTTCCATATGAGTTCACATTTAATGGAGGAGTCCCCGGTGAATAATCAAGAGGGGAAAGCCAGGATGATCCTGTCCCACAACCTCTCAATACAAGGAGCACTGAGTACAGTATAATAACAATTTGTAACACTGCCATCAGCAGTCACATGCTGTTGAGACTCTGAGAGGATGGAGTGACCTGTAGTGGACAGCTGTATTACAGAGATCAGCATTATGTATTATGTGTAAAAACGGGAGGGCGATAGCCTAGAGTTATTATCACTGGGCAGTTAATCAGACACCCAGGTAATATTCTGGGGCCCTGGTTCAAATCCTGCCATGGCAGATGGTGGAATTTGAATTCAGTGAAAATCCAGAGTTAAGAGTCTAATGATGACTAAGAAACCAATGCCGATTGTCTAGAAAAGTCCTATCTGGTCCACTAATGCCCTTTAGGTCCACTATCTGGTCCACTAATGCCATCCTGACCCATCCTCACAGAATCCCTACAATGTGGAAGCAGGCTGTTTGGCCCATCGAGTCCATACTGACCCTCCAAAGAGCATCCCACTCAGACCCACCCTCTACCCTCTCCCTGCATTTCCCACCCTAGACATTACAGGCAATTTAGCATGGCCAGTCCACCTAACCTGCACGTCTTTGGGCTATGGGAGGAAACCGGAGCTCCCGGAGAAAACACATGCAGACACAGGGAGAATGTGCAAATTCCACACAGACAGTCGCCTGAGGCTGGAATTGAACCTGGGTCCCTGGTGCTGTGAGGCAGCAGTGCTAACCACTGAGCCACTGTGACACCCCAAACAAGGTCCAGGCAATCCACAGCAATGTGTGGTTGACTCTTAACTACCCTCTGGGCAATAAATGCTGGCCTAGCCAGCGACACCCTCATTCCATGAATGAATAAAAATAATTAAAGAGTTTGTTGGAACTTTCAAAAGCAAGACAACAGTCACTTGCAGCTAAGATAGAGAGTGGGTTACAGCAGACTCAGAGTAGAGAGAGCACAGTCTAAGGGAGCAGTGCAGGATTGCAGAGGCCAGAGATGACCAATTACACAAGGCCCTGAGCCAGTCAGAATCTTCCATCAGATCTAGAGATAGAATCAACCCTGTGATTATGAAATGTCCCGGTCGTCTTTATGCTGCAAACTGGTGCAAATATACTCTTTCATTAGACACATACAAATGAGGTGTCAGCAAGTAGGCAGAACTTAATGTCTTGGCTAGCAAAATTCAGGATCCTAAACTGAGCTTTTGCATGAGACCTTTGTAAAACAGCACTGCTCCTCAGCTGAACCATTAGAGGAGTCTCGATTCAAATGCATTAAATACTGATGAATTGGAGAGGCCCTGCAGTCCAGTCTCTGCTGAGTTTAAACCTGTTTAAAAATAAATTAATGATAATTACATTGATCTCAATCCAAAAGAAAATCTTTGAACTTGTTAACATAACACCTTTACAGAGTTTAAGGTAAAGTCAGAGAACCATAGAGCTGCTCTCTCACAAGAGGAAAGGTGACTGTTAGTGAGTTTAACCTGAGGGTTACCATGCCTCAGGTGAGGGGGTGAGTTTGAGAAAGTAACTTTCATGATGACCTCAGCTGGTGTGGCATTTGAACCCATGCTGTTGGTATCACTCTGCATTGCAATCAGCCAACCTGAGCCAACTGACTGCGTTAATATTTCAATGACTTTTTGTTATGATTGCTACTGGTACTGTATGTTTGGATGTGGTTGATACTGCCTGCGTTCCGTGCTTCTGACAAGATGCCACTATTTCTGACCTCACCTTCCTCTTCTCCTGCAGTTGGCTTTCTGCGCAGCAGCACCAAGCTCTTGTTCCGGAGGAGAAGCAAGCAGAAGGAGCCAGGTTTCAGTCACTCGCACGATGACCTCTCCAACGTGAGCGACAGCTCCGCCTCCACACGGAAAAAATCCGGCAGCTTCTCGCGGAAGCTCATCAAGCGTTTCTCGTTCAAGTCCAAGTCCAAATCCAAGGCCAGTGCCAATGGCAGCACTGCGGCGAGTGGGAACTGACTGCATTGGGCTCTGAAGTAGAGGCTTGTGTCATAAAATGCCTGGTAGCTGGACTACCTCAGGTAGACAAACAGGCAAAAAGGCACTTGGGCCAAGTGGGGATTTTTGCAGTAATTTGTATCCTGTTTCCTTTTCAGTGACACTTCCCATGAAATGACAGGTGTACTGCCGTCTTTCATCGACCATTACTTGTAAAAGCCACTGTGCAGTGACATTCCCCCTTGGTTACATTACACAGCATCCGAAGCATGGAGGATACCTGAAGCTTTTAACATCCTGGAGCTGAGGGTGACCTTAAGTCAGGAACTGAGACAGAAGGCGTTTGTCTGGTGACACTAGCTTTGAGTGCAAATTATCTCTTACACCCTCTTCACCTTTCCCCAACTTTATTTATTGAAAATCTATAATGGCGACCGGTTTTGGCAGCGAAATGTTTTAGAAGAAATAGATTCTATGATTCTATGAAATCCTGTTTTATTGTTTTATTTGGGACAAATGAAATAAGTCACTTTGTTGATTGCTAACTATCCTTTACTGTTTGCTGAGATGTATCATATTGTTGTTTTGGAAATGTAACTGAAAAGATAAATGTAAACTCTTTCACTACTCAAACGGAGGAAAAAAAAAACCTCAACTTAATTTTGCTGCTTCACTTGAGTCACTGAACAGAACCAAGAAGTGGATAGTGAGATGAGTTAATTTCACAGGATGGAAGGATAATGTCAGCAAGTTGGACTTTCTTTTGTCTGTAATCTGCACTTTGTTGTTCCAGTTCACAGATCTCAACAGCAGATGTTCTCTTATGTTTTCCTAATTGTTTGTGAGATAAATCTAAGCTGAAGTATTGAATTCAACTCTGGACATTTAAGGAACCGAGTCAATTCCTTTAATGAGAGTGCAGTGGAGGTTTCCTAAAACACTACCAACAATTTGTGGACTTTGGTTGCGTTACAGTCCAAGACATGCTGGGGTGACTCTCCTTAAGGCAGAGATGGTTCCAGAGAAATTTAATGGGGTTGTTCAAAATTATTCATAGGGTTTTAATTGAGTAATCGTGAAGAAATTGTTTCCAATGGGGGAAAAGTCAGTAGTCAGAGAGGTTGATCTAAGTTAGTTGGCAAAAGAACCAAATGAGATTTTAAAAAGAATTAAATGTGGTGAGTTGCTGTGATCTGAAGCACACCACCAAAAAGATAGTGGAAGCAGTTTTAATTGTGATTTTCATAAGGGAGTTGGCTAAGTGCAAAGTTGGAGAAAAGTGCATGTCCATGGGGAATGATGGAGTGGAGCGGGACTGTTTTATGAAAATGCTGGAAAGCACACAGCAGGTTGCGCAGCAGTCTGTAGAGAGAGGGAAACAACAGTTCATGTTTCAGGTTCCATCCTCTTGAATTCTGTCTTTTTCTCTCTCGCTCTCTCTCTCTGTCTCGACCTCCGCATCCCCACCCACCCCACCCTTCACAAATATAACGTGACCTGCTGAGATTTTCTGTCATTATTTCAGATTTCCAGCATTGTCAAAACACTGTCTACAAGCTAGAAACTTGGCATAGCATTTAAAGTGTAAGTTAAAATGACCACTGTCAACGGTACATTGAACTTTGAGAAGTGGCATGTAACCAATGCCACAGCATGCTGTGGGCACAGACTTTGGGTATTATTATCACAATGACAGTCTTCAGTGAATAGGTTAATGTGGTATTGAAGGAACATTGGCATAAATATTGCATCTAGATTTATGGTAGTGCAAGGGTAACTTGGAGTGCTTGGCATCAGTTTAAAAAAGCAAAAATATTGCCTTGTATCCAATTTTGCAGCATGCCAGCCCCTCCACAATAATCTGGGTGCACTGTCACCTCTCAATCCAGAAATCTATTTAACAGAAGCACCAGTTCTCCAGAAATTTTTTGAACAGACCCATTTTAGTTCAGTAATTTGGGAGCGGGAATCTGGAAGGTACATATTTGGATCAGTAAAAACAAAATGACTGTTTCATAACATTTGATCGCTGTTTTATGCTTCAAGTAAATACTTAAAAAGAGCGTTTTCCAGTTCACAGATTTAGGCATTCACACATTTAGTCTTTCTATTATCAAAAAATTCCAAAAGCACTCTGGACGGAAGAGGTTGCTACGTATCTTGTTTCCTGGGTATGCAGAAGTTACATATAAAGAAAGGGAACACAAATTGAGAGTCCATCCAGGTTCCGTTCCACCCTCGGGTGACTGCCTGTGTGGAATTTGCGCATTCTCCTCGTGCCTGTGTGGATTTGCTCTAGTTTCCTCCCATAGTCCAAAGATGTGTAGGCTACGTGGATTAGCCATGGGAAATGTAGGGTTACAGGGATGGCAGGGGTGGGGGGGTGCTTTTTGGAGGGTCAGTATGGAACAATGGGCCAAATGGCCTGCTTCTGCACTGTAGGGTTTCTATGTGAAGACAGGCAGTGGATTTGTTCTCTTAGCCATGGGCTCCAGTATGTCATTAGGGCTGAGAGAAATGAGTAAACAAGAACCATTATTGGATTTATGCACTTGATACCCACCCACAGATGGTTTGCTGAAATTTGTTTTTTAGGTGTACAGTGAGGCATCTCAATTGCCATTACAATGGGGGTGGTGCACTGGTTTGAAGAGATGTATGTAGCTGGTTCTTTGTGAGAAATGAGTGTAAAAAGTTTATTGTACGTGGTAAATTTTAAATTTGTGTTTGGGAACTGGGGACGCTGGTGGGCGAACAATGAGGGTAGTCATATTTATGATGCAAACTTGTTTTAGAACCACAGGCAGTCACTTTATAGTGACAGGTGCCATTCTAGAAATCATTGAAAGCAGTTCTGTTTTCAGTCCATGCAGTTTTTCAGATGAATTGTGCTGAGAATCTAATCGGAGCTGAAGGTCTGAGATTTGAAATTTTACCAAAAAGCCTTCAATAACAAAATGCCTTTAGAGAAAGACGCGAGCGTCATGCAAAAAGGTCTGAAAGAGTGAACTGCCTTTAAAACCACAAACATCTTGCTGGACACCTGAATCGCTAAGAGAGTGAAAGTAGAGACACGCAATGATCTTGAAAGGTCATTAACCACACAGTGTCTGCTTGCATTTTCAGAGTGGTGCTTGCTGCTATGAAAGGGGTCAGTCTAATCGCAATAGAAATATTTCATTTGGAGAGAGGTCACACTAAAAATGGCCTGGAGTCATTTTCCCATGGTGTTCTATGGGCTGCACTGTCCTGAATGCCATTTTAAACCCAGACTCCTAAGAGAGCGCCTACATCTATATTCACCTTGAAAATAAAAGTTGATTTATTAAACACATCAAGCACGTTACAACTGAAATGTTTTCAATGAAGAATCTGATTTTTTTTCTGATTGTTCAGAGTTACAGTCAAGAATTTACTTCACAATTTGAACGCAGCATGTCTCAGTGGCCTACTTCAGCTGTAATGATGGGTTTGACATGCAGAGCGCCATGTTTCGCTCTGCCCCATAGCCCACCAGGTACAAAGGGGTGATGGCTGATTCGTTGGATCAGCACCGTTATGGTGGCAGAGTATGCTCTCATGCACCTTCCCACTCAGATATGGTGAGACACCAGAGATATGCTTGAAATTGTCTTTTATTTTCTTACGTGTATCAGTTTTACCTGAAAGATCTTCAGCATCAGAATCAGAAGGGCCTAGAAATCACTGCTAGTAATATTAGCAGGTGGAGTCATTTTAATTTTCATTGCTTTCTAAAACAGGTGGTAGGGAATCAGCAGCTGCTTTTTGCGCCTTGCATGAATTTATTTTCCATTGATGTTTATATATAATGTATAAAATAAATAATTATTGATTTTAAAAAAGCTTGAATCAAGCCTTGGTCCATACTGTACAATGTACAGTTCTGGTCTCCATACAATGAATAATATGTAGGTTCACTGGAGAGGTGCACAAACATTTTTCAGCAATGAAATCAAAATTGTGGGTATACCAATCTGGGCTAGGTCTGTTTTCTCTTGAAAAGAGAAGCCTGTGGGGTAATGTAATAAATGTCTTTAAACTAAGAAAGGTTTTAATAAAGTAGACATGGAGGGAGTGTTTCCACTTGTAGCCAAAAACAAAATGAGAGCCTATCAGGGATTTAAGATAGTCACCAAGAAATCCAACTGGGGAATTCAATAGAATCATCTTTGCCTAAAGACTGCAGAGAATGTGGAACTTGCTTCTTCAGGAAGTAGTTAAAGCTACTTGTATAGATGCATTAATGGAGAGGCAAGGCAAGCAGATGAAGGAGAAAGGAATTGAGGTTTATGCCAAGAGTTTTAGATACAGTCATAGTCATAGGGTCAGGAGGCTCAAGTGTAGCATGAAGACAGCACAGACTAGTTGGCTGAATGGTCTGTTCCTATGGCATATATCCTGTACAAAATAGGGAATGATTTCTATCACCCAATAATCCACGTTAAAATGACCAATAAGGTATGATATTCCCGTATCTGTGTTCATTAAGGGGAGGCATTTAAACATTTTGAATGGGTTGATGCTGGAATATACATCACAGAACTGACCCATGAGCACTTTTCTACTCTAAGAAACCAGGTTATATGCCAACAACAGCAGTAAGAGATCATGAACCATGCTGTCAAATTCCCTTTTAGTTTTCAGCACAGAGTCTGGAAGAGTGGGTATTGCCAGCTGAGTAATTTATTGTATGGTCTGTCATTGGTTTAGATATGCAATGGGCACTTTGTCTAACAAACAGGAGGCTGGAAGAACATAGCAGCATCTGGAGGAAAGGAGCAGTCAACGTTTTGGGTATTACCCCTTTCAGGACTGGATATGGGGGTAGGAGGAGCTGCAGATAAAGAGGTGGGAGGGAGGGGTGGAAGCAGAATGCTGGTGATAGGTGGACACTGGTAGTAGGTACGACCTGGTTGGTTGATGGGAGAGGTGAATCCAGTTGGTGGCTGGAAGGGAGGGTCAAAAGGTGGAATAGAAGGGAGGAGGTGGGGTTGGAAGGGGAGATGGGGGATAGGTGGAAAGGTTATTTGAAACTGGAGAATTCAACGTTGAGTCCTCTGGGCTGTAGGGTGCCCAGGAGAAAGATAAGGTGTTGCTTAAATTTGTGTTCCGAGTCAGTGCATCTCTGGAGGAGGGTGAGGACGGGCAAGTCAGAGGGGGATTGGGTGGTGGGGGGAGGAGTTGAAATGGGTGGTGAGCAGGAGGTTTGGTTGGCAATTTCAGGCCAGGCGGAGATGGCAAAATGGTCACCCAGTCTACATTTGGTCTCACCAACGTAGAGAAGACCACATTGGGAGCACTGGATGCGATAGACTAGGTTGGAGGAGATGCATATGAAGCTCTGTCTCACTTGGAAGGGCTGTTTAGGGCCCTGAATGGAGGTGAGGGAGGTGGTGTGCGGCCAGGTATTGCATCTTTTACGGTTAACGGGGGAGGTACCTGGTGGGTTGGAGTGTTTGGTGGGGAGTGTAGCATGAACTAAGGAGTGGCAAAAGTAATGGTCCTCGCGGAAGGCAGAGAGGGGTGCAGAGTGGAAGATGTTCTGGGTGGTGGGAACTTTGTTCTTGGTTCTTGTTTGAACTCCTTTGCTGTCGGATTGTGGATGCGTTCTT